TCCTTCTGTAAATGAACATATACTAATAAAAATAAAACAAAACCCAATGGGGTTGGAGAGATGACTCAGTAGTTAAGAGCACTAGCTGCTCATCTAGAGGCCCCAGCACCCACACAGAAGCTCACAGTTCTCTGTAACTCCAGTCTTCTGGCCTGTGTGGGCAGCAGGCATGCATTTGGTGCAGAGACATATATATGCAGGCAAAACACCTATACAAACAAAAATAAAAATGAAAAAAAAGGAAAAAAATACTCTGGTTTCTAGAAATGACCCCACTCCTATTTAATTTTAGACTGCCATCAAATCATTTAATCTCTCACCTAATCCAAATCACTCCTTATCTAATTTCTTAGCTGTCAAATAGAGACAACTCCTGTTTTACTGACTTAAGACTAAAGAGGAGAAATACCCCTCAACAAACATTTTAAGAAAATAGTTGATAAAGCCCTTTTAAGTTCTATAGTATAAGATGAATACTCATGCCACAATTTTGTAAAAACAGTTTATTACAGAAGAAAGTCTACTGAATTTTGAGTCATAAAGTATGTTAACTTGACCACTAATATACAGCTAATCTAGTCATCACTGGCATTACGAAATTTTAGTGAAAGATCAAAAAATGTACTAGCTACAAATAAAACTCTCATTGAATAAACAACTATTTTTTTTAATAATGCATGAGTGTCGACACAGTAATAGATGTGTGTGTACAACACTGAAGAGTAAATAGGAACTGTTACTGGTAGTAAGGGGAAGATGGAGGGGGATGGCTTCAACTGAACCTGAGCACGGGAGTGCATCAGAGAAAGGAATGCAGTCTGACAGAGAGCATAGTAACTCAGCACAGGGGCAAAGGAAATCTAAGGCAACGTCGAGTCTGAGGTGAGAGAGTCAGAATCAGCATTAGTATTTGCTCATCAGTCACTACATTCCTCTGCACAAAAGTCCTGCTGGACATTATAAACTACATCTGACAGATGAGGGAACCGAGACTTACTTACCAAGGCTAAACAATTTGTCCAGGGGTAGCTAAAACAACACAAACTAACCAAAGTATTTCTGATGTCAAAGGTAACATGTTAGAAAAGCAGACAGAAGAGAAGTTCTGTTGCATGAGGACCAGCTCTGGGCCAAGCAGCAGTAGAACCCTACTCTTACTTGCTCACCATGACAGCCTCCTGGGTAGCATCTCTCCATCTGTCACACTTGGCTATTCAAAGGGCCCCAAGTGGGGCAAGCAACTCCACTCCCTGCATACTTACTGTGCATAGTGTATGCTCAGGGAGGGGTAACTTGCCCACACCTTGAACGAGATTGAACCTTCTTTACATGTACTACTTTGCCTTTAGCAAACTGTGGGCCCACATCTTTTTTTTTTTTTTTTTTTTTGAGACAGGGTTTCTCTGTATTGTTTTGGAGGCTGTCCTGGAACTTGCTCTGTAGACCAGGCTGGCCTCGAACTCACAGAGATCCGCCTGCCTCTGCCTCCCGAGTGCTGGGATTAAAGGCGTGTGCCACCACCGCCCAGCTGGGCCCAGTTCTTATAGCCTTCCAGAGGCCCACAAGCTCTGAATTTGATTTACTGTCATTTTTTTCCCCTAGGAATTCTCCCTCAATACAGATCTTACACTTGCCTTCCAGGGAGCCAGACAGACCCTATCATCTGTCCCCCCTACCCCCTTCATTCCCTCCTGAGGGTTTCTGCACTTTCATATCTGGTTTACACGTCCCCAGTGTATATGCCAGGCTGTCATTAAGTCCTACCACAGCTTCTCCTGTCTCTAAAAGATCATGCCTTACTCTGGGGCCAGCAAAGACACTGAAGTCCCATCGATAGTCTGCAGTCTCTGCTGTACACCTCAACACCCCAGGAACACGATGCCTATATGCCCAAAGATCTGGGCATCATACACTTCTCTGATGCTCAGTTCCTTCAATAATTCCTTGTACTTTCATCTTCCAGTCTCCAATACTTGGGAGACTTGGGCCAGTGCCAGCCAAGTGTGCCTACCAGCTTTTATGAGCCAGTCTATCAGGAACTATTTCCTTTGTATTACCTCAGGTTATGCAGCCCTTGTCTCAAAGAGGGAGGAGCAATTTTATTTCTCAGTTTCTATGCTTCAGGGCACTCAGGCTGATCCCATCTGTTCCATGTCCCATAGCTTCACAAGCCAGGCTGTGAGTGGCTCCTTCATTTCTTACCTTAGTCTTTACCAACTGAAGCAGTTTAGAGGTAGTGCATTCCCTAATTATCAGGTTCTTATGCTAGGCCATTATCAAGGCCTCCATTTTCATGCCTAATTATAGGTCACCCCTGCCTGGCTTCTTCTGCACTAAAAATATCTTTTATCACTTCTCCCTTATTCTCTGCCCCCTCTTTGATTTTTCCCACAGGTTCCAAGGTTTTGATGCCAGGAAGGGCTCTCTACCACACATTCAATTTATACCCTTTTCATTATGTTTCACTGCCATTCGAAGCAGCAAGCCAATACCTCCACCTCCCTACATGTCCTGAGTCAGAAGCTAATGCGGAGGGCAGTATCACGTGTTCTTTTTCCACTGTAATTCCCCTGGATGCAGGGCTCCCTGGGCAGAGAGCGCTGCTTCAAATGCAAGGACCAAAAAAGTTGCTGCCTTAGCCGACCTGTAATCCAATTTCAGGGTACCCCCAACACTACAGACTGCTTGTATGGTGAACTCCATCAAAAAGGCATTGCACTCCATGTCACATAGAGCTGTGGCTCACAGGGGTCACATATCAGATATCCTGTATATCAGATGTTTACCCTACAATTCATAACTGTAGCAAAATTACAGTTATTAACTAACAACAAAATAATTTTATAGCTGTGGGCCACCACAACATGAGTACCTGTATTAAAGGGTCGAAGCTTTAGGAAGACTGAGAACGACTAACTCAGAGGAAGACCAGCCACTCTAGAATTCCTTTCAAGCACACTTCCAGGTTCAGCTTAGCCTGGGTACAAATCTTATCACCAGACTGAAAGGACGCTAACAACCAAAGATTCCATCCAAGCCCAGCACGGTGAGCCAATGGTTTGTTGACTGGAGTTACCTTCAGAAGCATAAGCGAGTCTCAGGCAGCTGCATTATTTCAAAGCCCCACCATGGCACAAGTGAATGCTACGGCAATGCATTGCTACCCCACCTCCTGCATATCCTAGCCCGCCCCCTTCCCCAGGACCACATGCAGCTGGGTCAGGGTTATATTAAGCTGGGAAGGGAAAAGGGGACTGGCTGGAACTACTAGGGGTATACTGACATCCTCCTCCCTTTCTCCCCGTGATAGTCTCCCATGGACAGTTACAACTGATCTGATGTCAAGACACCGGGGTCATGTCATGCCTGCAAACAGACTTCCACAGCTCCTTTTCCATGGTAGGCCAATGATCTGGTCATTTATGTAGGTAACAAATGGGAAAGACTCAAAGAACTGACACATGCTAACTTGTACCTTCAAAAGGGGTAATGCAGGGCACACAGGTGACTGTGACAGCATCAGAAAGCAGTTACGATTACCCTGCAATTGCCTTGGTTGGCTTTGAGGACTTGGGCCTGGACAGCAGCCTTAAGGCTGGAGCCTGGGTGTAAGGACAAAAGGCGGGCATGATAGGGGAGACTCCCAATTTTGTGAGTTAGCTGGTGCAATTGGCAGGCTTGGGGAATCACTACTTCATTTGGACATCTAACGAGGTCTGCAAGTGAACCACCTAGTTGAACTAATGATCACTAGAAAATAGTAACAATCTGAACAGAGAGCCTGCTGTTTAAAACCACCTGGAGATGGGGATATTTAAGTCCAGGAAGACTTGGCAGTTAGGTGACAGATGGAGAGCACAGACGCTCTAGCACCAGGAGAGGCCAACTATTAGCTTTTTAGATTGCTGCTGGCTTTTGTTTTGTTTTTGAGACACTCCCTTTGCAGCCCACACCGATTTGAACTTATTTGGGTAGCCCAGGATGGTCTTGAACTCATGGCAACCACCCAGCCTCGACCTCCCGCATGCTTGAACAGTTTAGCTCTCTTTTTAACAGTAAGTCGTCTAGACTGAGATCCCACCGTACGTCTGGCTGGCCACCACCCGGGCGGGATTGTCACAATCCTGGGGCTCAGGGTCACTTCCAGACTCGGCTTCCCCCTTCCCCCACCCCCACCCGGACCACCGGGCCGCGGACCGAGATACGTCAGGCATTGCCAAGCCCCCCAAAGCCCTGAGCCCGGGACTCGCGCCTGCGAGTCTGATCTCACCGAGGCTGAGTTCCAGCGGACACCAGGGCTGCAGATCTCGCCCCAGATTCTGCAGCGCCATCACGACCATGGAAGTACCGGCTCGCAGCGGCTCCCGCGCGCGCTCCGAGACGCTTCCGCGGACCAATCACAGCGTTCGGGATTTACAGTCGACCAATCGCCGCGCTGGGCCGAGTTCGTAACACGAGCCAATGGGCTGGCTCGTCCATAGCGTGCGCAGAAATGGGCGGGGCGAGGGCTGGAAACCAAACAAGGCTGGCGGAGGATTTCCTTTAGCTTTCCAATGCAGGCTGGGTCGGGGGTCTGGACGCCACTAGCTTTTTTGTTTGTTTGTTTATTTGTTACCGCCCTGTCTTTCTACACGACAGGAAACGCAGAGGCCAGTTGGAGATAGGACACTTCCTGTAACAGCAGTCACCTTTGCCCCTGCCGAGTGACACTCCGCGTGCGTGTCAAAGGCACCTCGGCCGTCGGGACGGCACGCAAGCGTTGTTCGTATGCGAATGTGAAGAGAGTCCCGGCGTTTATCTGGCTAAGAAATAAGGGAGATGTACCCAAAAGAAATAAATGACAAGGACGCACCTACAGTGCTAGGGCTTCACGAAACAGCGAGGCCCGAGAGCTGCTGGAAAAACGCCAGGGCCGCCATGTTAATTGAGGGAGAGGCAAGCTGCGCTTTGGCACTGCACATGCGCAGATGAGCGCACCTCCTGGGTGCCTGGAGGCGGGGGAGCTAGGGGGGTGAGAAGAAGACGTGCGCCTGCGCGTGGCATCTCCTTCGCATCCGGGCCGGAGTTCTCCTGCCCCCTCCCCCGCCTGGCGCCGCCGTAGCACTTCGGTGCGTTGCAGCGCGGGAGTCCAGACAGTTCAGTGCGCGGCTGGCCGCCGGACCCCACCCGGTGGGTGACAGAACGCGTGCTTGCGCCCGTGCGCCTGGGCCCTGGGCGCTGCACCTCCGGGAACTAGGGAGGGACGGTGCCTGGCCTCTCGGTGCATCGCTGCTCCCGGCGCCGCAGCCCGCAGCCGCCTGCCTTCCTCGGCCCTGCCCCTCCCCAGGGGCGCAGGCCGTCGTCGGTGATCACCCACCGCCCAGCTCAGCGGAGCAGGGCTACGGTGCGGCGTCCAGCGCGTTCCCGCAGCCGGCCCTCCGGCCTGCCTTCCCCGCAGGCAGCCCGCACCTTGGAGGGAGGGAGCAGTCTGTGCCGACACCGGCGCGGCCAGGCGGGGAGATGAGCTTCTTCGGCTTCGGGCAGAGCGTGGAGGTGGAAATCTTGCTGAATGATGCGGAGAGTAGGAAGCGAGCGGAGCACAAGACGGAGGATGGGAAGAAGGAGAAATACTTCCTCTTCTACGACGGGGAAACCGTCTCGGGGAAGGTGAGCCTATCCCTGAAGAACCCCAACAAGCGGCTAGAGCACCAGGGCATCAAGATCGAGTTCATTGGACAGATCGGTGAGTGGATTTCCAGGGATCTCCCCAAGCCCGCGACGTCAGCCCGTCCCTGGAGTCGAGTGTGGCACGGGAGGGGAGCAGAGATTTTCAGGGCCCAGCTCCTGCGAGGCCTGTAACAGGCTCTTGTCAACTGTAGTGTGAAGCCTGAGGTTCACCCACGAGTCCCGCCCGTGGGCGACACCCCCATGCATTCATTACCTTCTACCATGCCAAAAGTGACAGCGTGCTGCTGGGGAGGTGGGGTCAGCCTGAGAACGGCAGGGAGCCCCCTGCTGTATGGTTGGATGCTCACCTGGTACCTGAGTACCCCCATTGTCTCTGCAGTATGCTCAGAGCTTTGCACCTGGGATTTCAGTTAGGCAATATCCTGCAGGTGGGTTTGACAGCTACCTCTGTCAGATCCAATACAAAGTTAAGCAGTGACCCCACCCATCCATATATATATATACATACACACACACACATATATATAACATATATAGATAGATAGGGTGTGTAGACAGGGTTCATAAAGATTCTGTTTATCTCACATCCACTCTGAGCTACATTTCATGTGCATGTTTTGAATACCTCCAACCTGCCTCATTCTGACCGCCTATATTTCTCAGATGTCTTTATTAGAATACTAGTTTTTAGTTGTCTAATATTCTCCTTAAAGCAAAAAGAGTTATATTACAATAACTACCATGAAATGATCAAAAATTTTCAGTGCTCAATAATCATCTTCAAAATGTGACTAGAACTAGAAAAATTACTACTACTGGGGAAAGTAGTAAAAAAATATTTTGGGGAGTCAGCTGAGTATAGTGGTGCACGTCTTTAATCCCAGAATTTGGGAGGCAGAGACAGGTAGATCTCTGTGAGTTGAAGCCCAGCCTGGCCTACAGAGTGTGCTTTAGGCCAGCTGCTGTTACACAGTGAGTGAAACCCTGTCTCAAAATGAAATAAAGCTCCACAAAGATTTGGGAAGCTGCCCATTATCATGACTGGGTTGTCACCAGTTCTAAGTATTTGGAGTCTTCTATGTTAATAAATCGCTTGAGTACTTCTAAAATAAAATATTTGTGTTATGAGGTTATGTGCTGTGGATGGTGAACACCTGTCAGAAAATCCCTACCCTGTACTCCATGCTGCACATATGGGCGCTGAGTTCAGAGACTTCATTGGGAAAGCTTGTTAAATTCACATGCTTAGAGTTTAGCATAGCATCTGTTCTCTCCTTTTACAGAGGCAGGAAGCACTGGTAGGAGCATTGTGAAAAGGAATCCTGGTGGCCAGATTTTGCAACCCACTGCTTGGCCTTAAAGCATCTGGTATTTAAAAATTTGAAACCCAGCTGAAGACTGGTTGGTTGTAAAGTACCTGTTGGGTTATTTTAAAGCCAGAACCTGGAAGATCTATTGCTGTGCAGAAAAGGGGTTGAAGTGTGAATTTCACACTGGTTGCTCTCCTGCTTCTGGCTTGGGTGGGTTGTTGATAGATGTCTGGAGCCTCTTAGCTGTATCCTCAGCCTTTCCTGTACTAGAAACCAGTGGCATTCCCTACTTTTCACACATAATGCCGTTAGATATTGCTGTGTGTCCCCACCGAGGGTAAAATCACCCCTAGTAAATAATCACAGGTCGGATTATATAAATCCAAAGCATTTTATGTTAAGTATAACATATGAAATAGTCAATACTTGCCTACTGAGAATTGGTATTTTAAGTAGGAGTTTTAAAGTTAACATTAGTTCTTTTGCTCTGTAATATCAGTATAAACAAGTATGTTTTAGTCTTTGTCTATACCATCACTCCCTGATTGTGAATAACTTGGAATGTCCCCTGAAATGAACCATTCTAGAAGGAAAGCATGGTGTCAAGCCCTCTTTCTCATTTATTTAAATGCAAGGTAGCCAAAGAGGCTGTTTGTTGTTATTGTCCTACTTGGTCTCTTGCCTAACTGTAGGTAGGATTGCAGCTTCACTGAATTTCCATAAAACCTTTTATTGCTTGCTGGATAATTTTCCCTAGGCCCTTGACACTCTGACCTTATCAGGCCTCGGTTTTGTCAGCTGTAAATCAAGTATAATAAAATCACCCTGTTATTATGATGAGATATTGGGGGACTGTGTCTCATGTCTCAGATAGAATTCCTTTATAAAGATAAGAGCAGTCAGTATAGTGACAATTCCATTTCACAAACTGAATTACGATTCAGTCCTCCCCAGACTTCTTATATTATTCCCAGTTAGACTGCCATATGAACTTTGACAGGGTGTATATTTCAGCTCTTTGACTTAAAGTTTTTGTTTCTTCCACATGGGCTTTCACACAGCTAGCCGTAGATGTGGTACTTAAAGTATATGGTTCATGTTGATTCCCATTCATTATCCACAGTTACATGAGAGAATGGCAATAGATTAAAACGGAATTTATATAAACAGTAAATTCATTCTTTGTGAGACATCAGAAAAACCTTTCTAACCAGACATGATGGCATGTACTTATAATCCCAGAACTCCGGAGGCTAAGCCAGGAAGATCTCTCTCAAGTTCAAGGCCAGTCTGGCTACATAACAAGACTCTGTCTCAATACAAAGCAATAAAGGAAAAGCCTTTCTAGATAAGTTTGGCATAAAAGTCCCCCATCCCCCCATCCTATCCCATGTGTCGTCATCCCCCCCCTTCCTAAAACTGATTGTTGTTAAAGGTGTACCAGCACATTTAGAGGTGCAAAGTACTCTCCATGGGCTTCTTATTTATTATCTCTGTGACTTCCCCCAAAGATTCGAGGCATGGCATATTGTGTCATACATCTAAGACAGCTATTATGAAGTGACTTCAGGGCAGCAGAGCGAGGCGAGTGGGTAACTTTGTTGAAGTTGTGGTTCTGTGGTTTTCTCCTTCATTGCATTCTTTGACTATGTACCAAGTAGCTGGAACTCCTGTCAGGTTATAAGGACAGGCTATGTGGGTAACTGTAGCTACAGTCAAGAGAGCGACGCAGCATCGCCGAGTTCTGTCCTACTTCCTGATGAAACAGGTTGCTTGCTTGCTTGTTTGTCTGTTGGGGTCTTGGAAGAGCTGGAGTTATTGCCCTTGTCTTACACTATAACTGGCTTTGGCAGTTTCTTCTATACCCTTCTCATCTTCTGCAAGGATGAACTTCTTAAAAGGCAATTCTCATATTGCTAATCCCTTGAAAGTTGTTTTGTTTGTTTGTTTGTTTGTGTCTTTACCAGCACCTTACAAGGAGTATATTTATTTCCTTCCTGGAGTTTGTCTCTGCCTGCCTTTCCAGATCCCATCTCTCTTTAACTTTATCCTCACTGATGATAGTTCCTTCAAATATCATCTTCTGGTCAGGTGTGGTGCCAAACACCTGTCAGCCTTGGAAGACAGAATCAGGAAGATCATGAGTTCAAGTCTAGTCTGGGCTACATAGCTTAAAAAAATGAAGTAAATGGGGACTGGAGGGGTGGCTCAGAGGTTAAGAGCACTGGCTGCCCTTCCAGAGGTCCTGAGTTCAATTCCCATGATCCACATATCAGCGTACAACCGTCTTCCCTTATATAGTATGAACTACCCAATTTGTACATTCTCTTAAGAGGCCTACCTAATCACGTCCTCTACTTTAAACTCTAGGGATACCTCTTTTCAAGCAGGTGGTGACTTTGTTGTTGTTGTGTTTATTTTGTTTTGTTTTCTGTTGTCTATCTTCTTACCCCAAAGGCCAGAGACTGCTTTTAGTCCAGTGCTTAATCTCAATGACTAGCACTTAAAGTGCTCAGTAAATGTTTGCTAATTGGATAATACTGGTTTAGATCTAAGATGTTACAGAAACCATTTTCTGGAATTTCTTTCTCATCTTCTGTAGAAGCCAGGAACAAACATAGGGCCACAACTATGCCCGGCAAGTATCCCTCAACTTGGAGCTACATCCCTGGCCCCTGGAATTACTCTAATGGAAGAAAGACACCACCTAGATCAAGCCACTGGGTCTCCTGCTATATATAGGAGACATCCATGAACTAGCTAGGTGTTCTTCTCAGGGAAGGCCACCTGGAACTTAGGTGGTCCATGTGCCTGATGGAACCACATCTTCGTGAGGAATCTAGGATGTGAAAACAATAGATCTGTTGCCAGCTCTAGTTTTTGCCTTTTCTTTTTTTTCTTCATATTCTCATATCAAGTTGAAATGACCTCTCCCTGTTTGAGGTAAGAAGAGTTTGCCAGACATGTGGCTCACTGGGTCCTACGGCAACTGCACTGATGTTACAGTTTGAATGTTGTTCCAAGAGAGTACTAAGTTTCTAGTTCTTCGTTGAGAGCCATGGGTTTTTGTTAGCCTCAGTAAGTTTTTCAGCTGCTCTTTACCCTCCTGTACCCAGTGTGCTTCTTCTTGTGGCAGAGTCTCTGTTGGAACAATGCCAATAAATGTGTGACGAGTGAAGTCTTCCAGGTTAGACCGGTGGGTTTAACAAGATGCAGGAGTATGCAAGGAGCACCAAGGAAACTACTGCGCAGTTATAGAAGAAAAGACCATTTTCCCGATGAAATCTTTTGGAAAACACTGGTAGAAGTTGTAAGCCAGACTTGGGAACCTTGGAAGTTAATGGGATTAAATGAACCAAATATTATTAGTAGGTCAAACTTGCAGAGATGGGTAGACAGAGCCAAATACATCCTTTTTTGTTTGTTTGTTTTACAAAGTCTTTAATGAGCTCATCAGTACCAATAAGCCTGTGTTTTTAAAAACTTTTTTGTTTTTAACTCATTTACTCTGGAAATACCAATTGAAAAAGCACATAGAGGTTAACAGGGTTGATTCAGACATTCCTACTAAGTTTTCAGCCGGGCTTAGATTTGCACAGAGCAGTATGGGCAACCCAGAGGTGCCATTGCTCCTATGGGTCTGCCAGGGGCAGGAGCTGTAGCAAGCAAGGATCCTCATCACACAGGTTAGGGAAGTCAGGGGAGAAGGAGACTTCTGCTTTCTGTCTCCCCCAAGAACAACATGAAGCCTGGGCTATGTGTGGTGCAGCCGCGGGCCCCAGGTGTCTCTGAGGCTCACCCAGCCTGAGATACAGAGTCCGCTCAGTTTCCTTCTGTGGTGGCTACCTCCCTTCTTGGCCGTTGGTGGCTGGCATTATTGCCACGAAAACATCCTGAATGCAAGAATTATTTCCTCCTTTTGAGTGAAGAAGGAAACTAATGACAGAAGTTACTTGGAAAGAGAGAATGGAGTGACGGGTTCAGTTTCTACTTCTAGCCTGAAGGGCTGTCGTGCTGGGGGTAGAAGAGAGGCTGTTTTTATAGTTTATGTAGGGCCTGGGCTCTTGCTACAACACTTGGATTTTCGGCCTCAGTTTATTCAAGATGAAACCATCCTTTCTGGCAAATAACAGAGTAAAGCAACTATTTTTGCCCCCTTTGGCCACAGTGTTTGCAGAAACATTCCAAGTTGTTTATAAAATTATAAATCAGAAAGGCCATTCCAAGCTAGACGTGATAGCTGGCATACACCTGTACTTCTAGGAGGATTAATCAGGAGAATGGCTATGCATTTAAGGCCAGCCTGGTATGTGTAGCAAGACCCATCTCAACAAAATAAAACAGCAGAAGACAATCCTGGGCCTCCTCGGACCACACTGTTCTCCCGTGGCATTTCATGCAGGCCCTGATGCCGATATGTCGTGAGAAGAAAAGCACCGGGGGAATGTGATGGTATACAGAAAAGGACTTCTCCCCAAGTCCCTGCTGGGCCAGGCAGTGTGCTTCAGAACCGTTGCTAGGATCCTCAGATCCTGGCAGCCCTGCACACTCTGCACCCTCTCTGTTTTGTTTATTTCTCCTGTTACCTTTGGGCTCTATGATCATCGCTTTTGTGGTTTGTTTTTCCATTCTCTCTTTCCATTTTCCTCTTGATGCTACAATTTTCCATTGAAAGTTCACAGATATTGGGGCCTTGGGCTTCTTACTTGAATTCATTGGTGCTGGGGCCAAAATCGAGTGCTAGGGAGCCGAGGTACAGGGTTCCTGAGGTAGGGATTCAGTGCTCACATGAGCCAGCACCATCTACCAGGCTAGGTGACAAGACTGAGTGGAAGATTTTCTGTTGCTGAGGAGGGTCAGCTCAGTCCTCTGTCCACTTCTGAGTGTTCTTACTTTACTGGGGTGTAGTTCCTTACTGGGTTGACAACTTTCTCCCACATAATTTAGGACTGTCATCTCCCCTTAGTGGATTTATGAATTACCACTCCCTACCCATCATGCCGCCCACTGCTGAGACCACTTAGTATTTGGAAGAGGAAGTAGATCATTTGTAATAAAAGACTGATGGCCGGGTATGGGGGCACATGCCATTAATACCTACTACTGGAATCAGGCAAGTGGATCTCTGTGAGTTCAAGACCAGCCTGGTCTACATAGCAAGTTCCAGGACATGTAGTACTACATAGATACACTGTCTCAAAAAACAAAACAAAACGAATTGATCAAAGTGTAAGAGGTAGGAAATAGGCCACATATATTAGGCATAAGATACACTGTAGATTTGTATGGAAATAGTATTACTAGAATGGAATTATCTATGCTAATATCACTTTCATGAACTGGATAAATACTTTCTGAGGTTTTTTTTTGTCTTGTTTGTTTAGTTTTGGTTTGTTTATTTATTTTTTTCTTTCTTTTCTTCTTGTAATGCTGGTTTCAAACCCAGGGCCACCTCATACATGCTAGACAAGTACTCAGCCACTAAATACCCTCAGCTCTGCTTCCAAATGCCTCCAAGCTAAGGAAAAGCTCCCTATGGGATGAGTAAGTCAGGGGGAAGCCTGTGGAGTGTTGGGGGAATTTGTACTTGGGTTATAACTAACAGCTGAGATTGTTTCTTTGTTTGGAGATGGTCTTTCCCCCAGCCCAGGACTGAAGACTGCATTGGAGAGGCAGGATATCTGGTTTCTTGGGCGCAGTAAGGTTTTGATCCCAATCAAGGCTTCAGATCTTATGCTGTTGGAGCTGGACTCAGAGCAAGTACGCTGCTCTGAGCAGTCCAGTCACCCCCGAGGGAGACCTATGATGCCCCAGAGATGCTGAGAACCAGGACCAGGAGGAAGGAGTAGTGGACTTACTTGTCTCTGAAGCAGTTGTTTCACTGTCCCAGTTCATCTCCCTCCTGTGGAGTACAGCCTAACACAGTGCTTGAACTCAAGAATATTTGAGGGATGAGGCTTGACCTATCATGTGGCCATGTATTATTACAGGTAGAACTAAGTGCTTACAACTAGGGGCCAGGAAACTGGAGCTATGAGGCTCATCTTTAAAGGTCCTTCAGTGCAAAGGAGAACAGAAAGACCATGAATACCTCAAAACTTAATTTTTAAATTGCAGAATACAAAAAGTCATAAGATAATTTGGGTCTGGTGATACCTGGGTATGAGCTCACATCTGTGGTCCCAGAATTTGAGAGGGAAAGACAGAAGGATTGCTGTGAGTTTGAGGCTAGCCTATGCTACATAGTGAATTGTGGGCCAGGCTGAACTATGGAATAAGAAGGCCTGACCTACCCATCTTGCATTTCCTGCAAAAGTCAGGAATGTTAGAAAGGTGCTGTTTTGTTGTTGTTGTTTTTGATTCTCTTGAAACATGCTGAAAGCTGCTCACTGACCATCTCAGTGACCCTTACCCTTATTGGCACACAGTCGGTGGATTGTTTACAGGAGCAATGGCCTAGAGCATTACACTGACTTTTATTTACTTATTTAGGTTTCTTTATTTTATGCATACATGTGTTTTTGCCTACATGCATGTGTGTGTACTCCATGCATGCCTGGTGTCCCTGGAGGTCAGAGAAGGGCACTGGAGCCCCTGGAACTAGAGTTACACATGGTTGTGTGCCACCATGTGGGTGCCGAGAATTGAATCCAACTCCCCTGGGAAAGCAACAAGTGCTCTTGACCACTCAGTTATCTCTCCATCATACTGTTTTTTTTTCTTCTTTGTATCATGGATTTTCACTATGTGAAGCAGAAGTGTCAGCCGGGCATGGTGGTGCACACCTATTTTTCTTGCTATTGTGGTAGGAGATTTGCTTATACCTAAGATCTAGTGGCCAACTTAGGTAACATAGTAAGACCCTGTCCCAAACAAAAAGGAAGTGTCTTTGGAAGGGCATGTGTATGGGGAAGTCACTGGAGGGGCTGGGGACAGGGAATGAGAAGAAACCCTAAAACAAGTCTGGTTTGGCCAGGACCTTCCAAAAAGACAGGCACCTCCAACCTGCGGTGCCCTTACTAGGTTCAGTGTAGTCCAGATCAGCTTTGTTCTCTCTCTAGAACTCTACTATGACCGTGGGAACCACCATGAGTTTGTGTCTCTGGTGAAGGACTTGGCTCGGCCAGGAGAGATCACCCAATCACAGGCCTTCGACTTTGAGTTTACTCACGTGGAAAAGCCATATGAATCCTACACAGGGCAGAACGTGAAGCTACGGTAAGTGGTCAGTGATGTTCTCTGTTATAATCCTGAAGCTGTCCCACGAGGGCAGGCCCTGGAGTTTCGTGGCTATTAACGGTCTCTATGTGGCTACTAAGAAGGAAGAGGACTGCAAGCAGCTGAATGCTAGTAAATGTCACCATTGCCCCCCCCATGAGGGGGGGACCTTCTGATTGTACTTCTCACAGCCATCTGTGAACCTGAGTGCAGCCACCACATTTACACAGTGTTACTGTCATCACACAGAGTCCCTCCAGACCAAGGGCCTCATCGACTGCAGGAAAATCATTAGGAAGCAAAGGGATTTTAATATGGATTGCCCTTGCTGCTTAGGTAATTCATCTACTTGTAAGTTTATCTAATTTAAATAACAGCCATTTTTAACAACCATTTCTTAAAATTCTTGAAAATCCAGCAATTGGCTTTCGAATTTGAGGTGGCCCCAGACAGACACCTCAGCTTGGTTTCCAGAGGCACTGACCCCTCCCCATTTAGCTCTGCCACACAACATCATGTCATTTTGGATTCTGTAACTTAAAGCTTTGTTTTGAAAATAGATGCTAGTTTAGGATTCTAACTCTAGATTTGCCTTCTCTGTCTTCTGGAAGAGATAAGAAAAAAATGTAAGAGCATAGCACAGTCTTTAAAAACTGGACACAGGGCCAAGCATTTGGCTTAGTGGTACACCACTGCCTAGCATATACAAGAGTTCAGGACCCATCCCAGGCATCATAAACAAAAAAGCACCTGAGATTATTTTTACTACTACAGTCTGGGAAACTATAAGGAAGGAAACGGATGTCTGGGTCTCTGAGGTAAAAAACAAAAAGGTCCACAGCATCTCCAGCCTCTTAGATATGACCATTAGATTATGTGACATCACTGGGATAAAGCAGACTGTCCTGTCGCTCTGATCACATGATCCCAAGTCTTGATCTCATCTCACAGGATCTGCTTGTTTTCATCACCTACAGGCCTGGGCTTACGATGGTGAGGATTACAGCAAGACCAACATCTTCCTCTCTTTCTCCTGGTTTTCCTTCATCCATCAGAACTCTGTTTATAGACTCCTAGGAATATTTGCACCCAAATTCCTGCTAAAGACAGTGTGACTCATCCTGTCATTCCAGAGAAAGCACCAATGAGGATTATCTAGCAATCACTTAGCTTGGCTATGGGAAATGTTAAAAAGAATTCTTGACACAGGTCTTGTTATGTAGCCTAGGCTAACCTCAAGCTCTCAATCCCTCTGCCTCAATCTCCTGAGTGCTGGGATTACAGGTGTGTGCCACCATGCTTGGTAATTCCCACACCCTACCCCAGAGGATTTGCCTTAGTGCTTTTATGTCAAGAAGAAAGGTATTGAAAACAATAGAAGGGCTGGAAGGATGTCTCAGCGGTTAAGAGGTCCTGAGTTCAATTCCCAGCAACCACATGGTGGCTCACAACCATCTGTAATGAGATCTGGTGTCCTCTTCTGGCCTGCAGTTATACATGCAGGCAGAACACTGTACACAAAATAAATAAATAAATCTTAAAAAAGAAAACAATATAAATAAATAAATAGAGGGTAGCATGTGCACATACTTGAAGAATGTGCAAGGTCCTGGGTTCAGTCCCCAGCAACACACACATACATAATTAATCAGAATTAGTGTGTTACCCAGCAATTCCACTCCAATTGTATGTCCAAAATAATTGGACAGAGAGTCTGGAACAGATAATCTGACACCTGTGGCCACAGCAGTGTTATTTACATGACTTAAAAGTGAAAGTAGCCGGGCGGTGGTGGCGCACACCTTTAATCCCAGCACTCGGGAGGCAGAGGCAGGCGGATCTCTGTGAGTTCGAGGCCAGGCTGCCTCCAAAACAATACAGAAAAACCCTGTCTCGTAAAAAAAAAAAAAAGTGAAAGTAGGCAGTTATGGTGGCACGTGTCTTTAATCCTAGCACTAGGGAAACTGAGGCAGGTGATCTCTGTAAGTTCCAGACTGGCCAGAACTAATAAATAGTGAAACCCCATCTCAAAACAAAACAAAACAACAACAACAAAAAAGCTACAATCAATCAAGCATTGTGGTGCATTCAGTTTTGAAACAGGCAGATGGATCTCTATGCTTGAGGCCAGCCTGGTCTACTTAGCAAATTACAGGTCACCCAGAGCTACATAGTGAAACCCCCTCACAAAACCCAACAACATCAAAACTATGTGCAGAAACAGTGGCATGCTAGAGTACCAGGAGTTTTCAGTCCTCTCTCTCCTTCCCCTACCAGTTGTGGGGGGAGGGGGGAGGTGTTTCTCTTTTTGGGGGTGGGGAGGGTTGCTGGTGAAGGAAGTCTGTGAAGGGCAGGGGCATGCTTAAACCCTAAGTAAAAACAGCAGAGCAGAAAAGAATTAAAAATCTTCACTTGAAAATCTTTAATAAAATAAAAATCAGTCTTCTATAGACAATGGAATGGCTTGAGTCCTCAGCAGTTAGAAAATGGTTAGGGACAAATGTCTTGTGCAGTTGTGACAGAAATTACTGAGGGAAATAAAGTGCCACACGGAGCTGGTAGCCTGTGTGTGTAGGTGATGTGGCTAACTTTCCTGTAATGCTTAATGGGCACTTGTGTTATCAAAGGATTACTCAGAAGGAATTATAACTAAGGGGACTCCCCTCTTGTGGGTTGGCATAGGTTTACATCCAGGGGACTGGGATGTTGCAGAGGCTGTGTTGAGTCCCTGTTAAACCATTAGGGCCCACTTATGTGTCTTCTTTCAAATCTGTCCTGCCATGCATCTGCTGCCTCCAGCTAACCTACAGATTTCTTTGCTACTTTGTTGTATTACACGCAGCTTTGTTCTTTGAGTCCCTTTGTTCTCATAAACCCGGATTGTGGTTTCTGAATTACCCTTCTGGCTGTCTTGATGTTTCTGTTTGTTCCTCTTCCTCCAGATTGTGAGCTTCCCTTGAGATTGTATTGTACTTATCCTGTGCCTAGCACAGGGTTAGCTAAGAAAGACTGCCGAAATGAATACTTAGCTTCATTTTTTATTGATCAGATACTGTTTAGTGGGCAGGCATGTAAATGTAAGTGTATAGGCCAGATGTCAGTGCTCAAATAGCCAGGAGTTAGGTAAAGAAACAAACCTTCCACACAGATGGTAGATAGTGGTAGGGAACATGAAAGGCCTTTAAAACACGCTGTTGGTGTAGATGGCAGAGAAATCACTTTTGCTAAAACAAGGTTCTTACTTAGTTCATAGTCATGAGCTCCCAAAAGGATTTTAAACGAAGGCTCTGCTCTCCCTAAAAATTGTAGTTGCAGAAGTCTGTGTATAGGTGCCTATGTATACTTTTTCTAAGAAAAGGGCCCATAAATTCTCAAAGGGATATACAGCCCCAGAGGGTTAAACATTACTGTAGGGTTCTTCCAGGTGGGCTATTTTGGTGCCTGATCTACGTAGCTTCCAGAGACTGGAAGTATTCACATGGGATGGCTCCGTCTCTTACAGCTATTTCCTTCGAGCCACCATCAGCCGCCGCCTCAATGATGTTGTCAAAGAGATGGACATTGTAGTTCACACACTTAGCACATACCCTGAGCTGAACTCATCCATCAAGATGGAAGTTGGAATCGAGGACTGCCTGCACATTGAATTTGAGTATAACAAATCCAAGTAAGTATCCTGAGCCCCAAGCTCTTCTGTGTGGTAATTACTTATGGAGATTAAGAGAGAGATCTTGAGGGTTGGAGAGATGGCTCAGAGGTTAAGAGCACTGACTGCTCTTCCAGAGGTCCTGAGTTCAATTCCCAGCAACCACATGGTGGTTCACACCATCTGTGATGAGATCTGGTGCCCTCTTCTGGCCTGCAGGCAGACATGCAGAGGTAACACAGTATATATACTAATTAAATATTAAAAAATAAAAAAACTAACATTTAAAAGAGAGAGAGAGAGAGATCTTGAGTGTACACTGACGGCGTCACCACTCCACAGCTATGCGCTGCAAGGGGAGACTACCAAGATAATACAGTAGATATGTGTTAGGCTAGCTATGCCAGGAAATAGAAACTTTATTATTAAATACATTAAATTATTTAAGATCACATATTTAAACATTAAGGTGCATTTCAAAGTCAAGCTTAACTAGCTTTTAGGTTGTTTGTTTTTGATACTAGGTAAAGCTGCTTCCTTCCATGTGTGAGAATAATCACAGAACACAATGCCACGATCATTTGTTTCCTCCCTGCCTTAGAAATCAAAGTGAGGAAACCACGCACTGGCAATGGGCTGCTTCCTCCTGAACCAAAATGATTTACAGTACAGAGTCTCTGATGCTTTTTTTTTTTTTTTTTTTTTTTTTTTTGCCCCAGAGACAGTTTCTCTGTCCTGGAACTCTCCGTAGAACAGGCTGACCTCAAACTCACAGAGATCCACCTGCCTCTGTCTCCTGAGTGCTGGGATTAAAGGTGTGTGCCACCACTGCCTGGTTCCTGGCTAGTTGGGAAGTTGTGTTTTAAACCATGTTTACTATTAGATCATCAAAGTGGTTAATTGCTTATAAGCCACAGAATTTTCTGGCAGTCTTGTATCTTTCTTTTGAATATAATCTATTTCTGAAAGTATTTGGAGACCAATTCTAAAGTGAAAGGATCATCGACTCAGTCTTTGATTACCCTTCTTCCTGTGGTGGCCTTCCTCCAGGCCTACTGCCGACCAGGAATTAAGGAGAGCCAATTCGCATGCTAAGGGCTTAGGAACAGAGGGAGACAACCATATAGACCAGGCTGGCCTCATTCTTGTGATCCTGCTCCTACTTCAGAAGCTGGGATTACTGGCATGTGTCACCATGTCTGATGGGAACAGATTTTAAACCAGGAACATACTTGACTCCAAGAACAGTTGTGAAACTCTGCCCTCTGCCTTGGAACCTAGTGGTGCCCCCATAAAATGACCGTTGTAACCTAGATCCAGCTTCGCCTGGCCCACCTGTTGGATAGGTGCAGGGAGGGAGCTTCTTGCCTCCTCCTTCCCCTCCTCAGTTTCCTTGCTCAGCCTGGTCCTGCCCACTAATCCCCCAGCCCTCTGGTGAAGGCAGCAACTAGCAGAAGTGCTCCCACAGCCTGAAGCAGCCACTAGTCAGCAGGTCTTGGCTAAGAAGTGTTTTAGGGTCAGTTACATGCGGGCAGGAATAGATAGATACTCCTACTCTTCCCCTCTCCTTGTACCACAGGTTGTAGCATATGGGAACATGAATCATGTTTCTCACATGGGTGTGCTCCTGTGTAAAGTTTCACTATAGTAAATGAATGCTTCACTTGTAGGATACAAAACCTTAACATCCGAGCAAGGTCTGTAAGTATCCTGAGAAATGCTGCAGGTGGCCCCCTGTTGTGTCTGCAGGTGTGGAGGTTACCCACTCAATGTCTGCAGCTTTCCCAGCAGACTGTACACAACAGCGTTGGAAACGGAGGGGAGCACTAAAGCCTGGAAACTAGAAATCTGTCTGAACCCTCTCACATCCAGTCGAACGATATAGTGCCTTCCAGCTTCTTTTATCCTACCTGCCATGAAAGGAGGCCCAATTGTGACGTCTCTGCTAGGGATCACATGCCATGAATCTTAGCGTCAGGTTTGAAGAGTGTGCTGTCTTTCTGATGCAGGGCCATGTATCCACAGACTACCAGCACTGTTGGCTGGTCCACAGAGAAAGACTTAAAGGAACCCGAAGTGTTATGCACTGGGTGGGGTGATACAAGTCTTTAATCCCAGCACTCAGAAGGCAGAGGCAGGCAGATCTATGTGAGTTTGAGATCAGCCTGATCTACAGGACAGCCAGGGCTACACAGTAAAACCCTATCTCTGAAAACAAAAAACAAAACAAAACAAAAAAAAAAAGGAAGTGCTGTGCAGCGTGGCTAAGTCCCTAGTAGCTTGTGAAGCATAAGCCATGCAAGCAGAGTACAAAGAGCAGGCAACAGTGCAGAGCGAGACTCATTTGTTTTGTTCTTCAGCTCCAGCCCGGGCTGTCTAGCCTGAAGCAAAGGGAACTGGTAAGGCCCAGTTCCAGGAGAAGGGGCAGACTTGATTCCTTTGTTTGTGAGCCTAATCACTAAAGAAACACATACATTACAAAAATACTAACGGTATATCCTGTGGAGATGGGACAGACAAACAAATACTGAAGGTTGAAGTAACATGCATCATGCTTTGAGTGGGACATGGAAGGGGGCAGTCACGTGATTCCATTAAAGCACACAGCAAGATTCTCTCCCGTAGCGAGGTTGAGCATACTCTTCCATTACAGCTCTTACCCATACACAGGGCACCCTACAGGGCCAGGCGCCGCTCCACAGTCCTACCTGTTCTACTTTCTCCTCTTCAGATACCATTTGAAAGATGTCATTGTAGGGAAGATATACTTCCTGCTGGTGAGAATCAAAATCAAGCACATGGAGATAGACATCATCAAACGGGAAACAACAGGCACGGGCCCCAATGTATACCACGAGAACGACACAATAGCCAAGTATGAGATCATGGACGGGGCACCAGTTCGAGGTGAGCCTCCAGGCCCAGGGCCACTGCCACTGTTTGCTTCCAGGCCATGTACAGAATATGGGAAGGGTTCAAATGATTATACTGTTGAAGTAAAACCAGTTTTGTTTGTTTTTTCTTTTGAGACATGGTTTCACTATGAAGCCCAGGCTGGAACTCTTGGTTGTCCTCAGCACTGAAGTAGGAACAGGGTGGGGAAAGGCTGAGTCTGTGGAACTTCAGCTACCTACCCCATCCTCAGCCGCAACAATGCCACGTTGACCTTGTTTACATATTGACTTATACTTAAGATTCCATTTCAACTGGCCTGCTTGCACGTGTATGTTATCCCACACCTTGGTAGGTTGAGGTAGGAGGATCAGAGGTTCAAAGTTATCTTTGGCTACATAAAGTTTAAGGCCTACTTAGGCTATATGAGATCCTGTCCCCTACCCCCAAAAAAGTTTGCAAACTGCTTTAAGATACAGTTTGGATACTTAGTTACTTTTCCCTCTTGACATTCCGACATGTTCTCAGAGAGAGAGATCCACCTTCTCTAGTCATTTGCATTGTTTAGTTCTAGCTACAGTGAAATGTTCCACTCTAGGAGTTCATTTGTGTGTCATGAAAGCACACTGCTAAACTGCAGGCCCACACTATGAGGGCTTCAGACAGCCGCAGGAACCAGTGCACGTGGTCCTCCACAGGGCCCCTAGGAGGAGAGGGCTTGAAAGCTCTTTGCTGTTTGGGAATCTGGATTTCTGGGAAATAGCAATCATTTGCATTCTTTATGGGCTTTGGAGCAATTGAGGATGGAGGTCTCGTCTCACTTTGACGTGGGTGGTGGTCCACCCCCAGTGGGTATTCCGTGTGGAAGGAAGCTGTCACACTGGCAGTGCTAGCACTGGAGACCCACGGATTCTTAAAGCACTCGCTGTAGCAGACCCCTGGGAGTGCTGGAACCCAGGCTTCTTAGCTCTGATGCTCCATTTTCTGACGGGTTGAGCCAAATGCCATTTCTCCTGCTCGAGTGAGGTGGGGCACAGAGAAGCGGCACAGCACAGCAGCTAATTAAAGGTGCGCGTATATTTAGCTTGAGGTTGGCTTTCCCAGTACAATCACTGCCCCCATTCTTTTCTTCTTATGAGAGTGCGATAGGACCTAAAATATACTACTGGATTCTCTTGATTTTCCATACAAAAGCTACAGATGTATTCAAATCTGAACAAGGTGCAGAATGAGTTGCCTCTTTTCTAGACCACCCTCCTGCAGATTGCTATTAGAGTGGAAGTATACTCTGGGCATACATGAACTAGTTTCAAGGGGGGATAACTGGAGATAGCTCGGTGGTTCTGAGCATGCACTGCTGTTGCCCAGACCTGAGTTTGGGTCCTAGCACTCCCATCAAGCAGCCTCTTAGAACTCTAGCTTTCTTCTGGCTACCTCAGATACCTGCGTGTACATGTACATACTCACATACAGATGCAAACATACACAAGTAAAAGTAAACCTTTAAAAGAAAAATTTTTAAAGTAAAAGAAAACCCAATAACTTAGTAGACTTACTTACTGGCTCACACCTCTAATTCCAGCACTTGGAAGGCAGAGGCAGGAGGATTGCTGTGAGTTCAAGCCCAACCAGAACTGCATATAGACCATGTTTCAAATAGATGAGAACAAAAACAAGCCAGCAGCAAGGCACATTGCACATAGCAAAGGGTACCTGATGGTTCCCCAGTGCTGTTCAGTCCTGTTCCTCACTGCTTTCTGCAATGGGAGGGTGACAGGCTGTTCAGAAACCGCAGGACTGGAATGGATCTGGAAAATCACATATTCATTTCAGGAAACTGCTGCCAACAGTGTGTAACGTCTTAGTGTTCCTTGCCTTGCTCAGCTGGAGTCTGACCTGCTGCAGCCAGAATGGGCATTAGTATACAACAGTGCCTCTTGTGTCCCTTGTCCTCATTTTTGCCTCACCCCTTACAGGTGAGTCCATCCCCATCAGGCTCTTCCTGGCAGGATATGAGCTCACGCCCACCATGCGGGACATAAACAAGAAGTTCTCTGTGCGCTATTACCTCAACTTGGTGCTGATAGATGAGGAGGAACGGCGTTACTTCAAGCAGCAGGTAGGTGCCTCCTCCGGGACCCTGGGTTCCTGTGGGCACCAAGCAGAAGGCCAGCATTCCCACAGATGGCCATCTTAACACTTAAAATGCTAAAAGAAAACAGTTGAGCCTCTGTCACTTGTGATTTTTACCAAGAAGTAGAAACGTGGAATTGCCTAGAATCCTATAGCAGGAGTACAGATTCCCAACTGATACCTGGAGTCTGCTTTCTCAGGCCTAACTCCTGCTTTTGAGGCTCACACGGAACACCAGTCTTAGGAGCCACTGCTTTGGTGAGAGATGAGTCCAGGAGGTCATTCCTGGAGATTCCCTGGGACTAGGGTGGGAATCCATGAGAAAAGCATCCCTGAGCCTCTCTCAAATACCATATTGCCTCTTCTTCCACCTCTGTAGGAAGTGGTGCTGTGGCGAAAGGGTGACATCGTACGGAAGAGCATGTCTCACCAGGCAGCCATTGCCTCACAGCGCTTCGAGGGCACAGCCTCCCTGGGTGAGGTGCGGACCCCCGGCCCACTGTCTGACAACAACAGCAGGCAGTAGGCCCCGCCGGGGCCAAGGAGTTGCTGGGCTTCCACTGCGGCACCCCATCTACCGAACACCAGCGACTGGGGAGGGGGAGGACGGTATGAGGCTCAACTGACCGTTACTTGCAACCTTGAAAACAAATGTTTTTTACCTACATTCTTTTCTCTGAAGAACCTAAGGGGCTTGGGTTAGGCAGCAGTCTCCCTGGGATTCTGCAGCCTAGGTAGGGATAGGGAGAGGAAACATTCTGGAAGCTAGTCTCTCCCTTGGGAATGAGAGCTGTCTGTCAAGGCTATCTCAAGCCTTAAAGCAGAGTTGAGAGCACATATCCTTGGCTCCAGGTTCTCTGGGCTTCCTGATACAGCGGCTGAGCGTGTCCCTGGCATTCACTCGCCAGCAGGGCTCTGGGTAGTCACGTCTTGCACTCCCTTCGACTGTCCCTGAGGTAGTGGCAGAAGTTATCAGGCCTATCTCATCTAAGTTGGATGAAGACTCAAGATCGGGAAGCTACCTCTCTGGGCATCGGGGACGTGGTGCTCTTAAGTTTCTAGTCACCTCTGGCCTCACTACGGGGACCAGACACGCCTCTTCTCCATCTTTTCTAGTTTGCCAGGAACCATACAGGAGCAGAGCCTAAGGAAGGGTCTGGGGCTGGCTGTCCTCTCACTTGTGAGAGATAGGGACACAGAGAAGCCCTAAGACTGGTGTCACACTTGGAGGCTGAACAAGGCCTCCTGGGGGAAACATTAGGAAAGGCAGCTGTCTGCCTTTACCACATGACTCTGCATGGCAGCCCAAGGTCCGGGTTGTTCTAGGGAATTATTTGAAGTTACCCAACAAGCCCTAAGCAGAGGGTCTATTTCCTTTAGTGTAGATCCTTAGAAGAGGCTGAGATCCATTTGCCTCCCTAAAAGTGATCTCTTGTTACGCCTTGTCCTCCAGTTGATTCCTGGAATTGGGATTGGTTTCAGGCACTTAGAAGTTTTGTTCTTGCTCCCACCCCAAACCTGTTCATCCCACTATCTACACATCAAGGGAGGAAGGGCCTCTGCAGAAGACTCTGGTTACCATAGCGTCAGAACAGTTCTGCTTGCCAAATTATGTCTTTATCTTCAATTCACTGACTCAAGTTTAGCACCACTGGTGTTTTGTTTTCTAATTTAGAAATAGGGAAACTCTGGTGGATGCTGTTACACTGTGCTGGGGCCTGCAAGTAGTAAAGGCCTTGTCCCGGTGGCCGCCCTCCCCTCGACAGAAAGATCCAGTGGAACCGATGTGCAGCGAGTACAGTATTGGCTGGTTTGTGCTCTTGGTGATTGGGAAAGGATTTGTTTTGTGTCACCTTTCAGTTAGGGTACAAAATGGGGTCTCTTCCTCAGAAATTAGTGCAATCTTGGGCTCTGACAGGGCAGGGCTGATGGATCAGAGTTCAGATGAAAGACACTTGAGGGTGACTGGGGGTTGCAGAGCTAGGTAGTTTTCCTCATGTCAGACCCCAAGTTTAGGTGTGACATACAGTCCCCATGGGAACAGGTTTAGCCATCCAGCTGTCCTTAGATATCAAGGCTGGGCCCTAGCATATGAGGAAGGTAGGTTCTGTGCTCTTGCCTTTTTCAGGTATGAGACTAGACTCTGCTGTGCCTCCTTTTAATAGCTAACTAAAAGCATTTGTCAGTTTCTCTGCTTCCCAGCGGACAACACAAATTCATTTTGCAACTTTGCTAACATCTGAAGCCGTTCTTCTGGGAGAACTAGAAGGTAGAATATGCTTTGTTTCTCTCAGGAGCTGTGCACAAGCCAGGTCTTGTTTTCTCTTACCACCCCCATTTTCTTTTCTCTGCCAACTGTGAAAGTGTGGGGAGGCTTGTATCCCCATCCCATAAGGTTCCCAAACCTGGAGTGCATAGGTACTAAACCAGGCAGTGCAACTTGTAATTAAGAAGCTGCAGTGTTTACATGTTTCTTAATGTGTTGTCTTTTCGATGGCTGTATTTTAAAAGAACATTTGTTTTAATGGTGTCTCTAATTAAAGGAAGCCCTGTGGCTTTGGAGGCATTGTGCCCATGGTCCACCAGATTCTGTGGTCTTTTCCTTCTTAACACTGTCTCATATCTGACACACGAACGAAACTTTATGACTTCAACACCTGCCTTATTTCTCAGTAGATGGTAAAGAGTAATGAACACTGTATTAACCCCCCCACTGAAGGCAACCATGGCTCAGTGAGTTCAGGTTTTATCCTTGTCTGGCAACTTACCCAGAAACACTCATTTTCAACTTCAGGACTTGGGTTCACTGAGTGTTCCCAGACCAAAGGACTCAGTCCTACATAACTACAGCGGTAGGGGCAGATGATAGGAGAAGTACCTGCATCTTCCAGTTGGCAAAGGGAGCCAGACTTGGATGTATGACATCCACAGGGAAGGGTTCCACCATACTCAACACAGGGTTAGAAGAAAAAGCTTTCAACCTCGTCACTAAATCTTTTTTATTAGGAAAAAAAGATTGAACAAACCACCTGTGCACACGACCCCAGGTGGACACAGCAAGCTTTGTCTTTTTTTCTTTTAAAATCTTGAGTATGTGGATCAATGGCTTGTTCACTCCATCAGTAGAGCCTTCATTAACTTGATTCTGTTTCCTCCAGGCTCAAAATAAAATCAAACTCTTCTATCAAAAAAAATAAAATAAAAGGAAAAGGGAGAATGAGGTGTTGTGCCATCTCCTGCCAAGGGCACCTGAGTTAATAAGGCACCACAAGTTCCTGGAGTGGGCGGTTGTCCATTCAAAATCTGGAATATTTTAGGGTACTGGGTATATAGAAAACAGCAGCTGAGCACATAACCTTCCTCATAGGTGACACAGGTGAGGACACTGACCCAGAGAGGTTTAATGCTGTTTCCACATTTAGGTCTTACCTCGACTCAAAGGCTGAACTGAAAGTCTCTGGCGAGTGAAGAGAGCCATGCTTTTTAAGGGGCCACCGGTAGCTTTGTGGGCTTGGTGATAGGCTTTAAGCTCTCCCAGGGAGATGAAGCGCTTCATCATTCGAACAAACTGTACATCCACCTATGCAACAGCATTGCAGGGACAGGAACGTGTTCAGCCAGACTGTCCAGTGTAAGGACTGGGTCTCTCTGTGCTGCTAGTCTGTCCGTGAATTCCTCAGCTAAATCAATTTTCAAGCCTCAGCCTACTGAGTGGTTAAGAATACAGGCATTTGCTTCTGTGCCCACCCAGAATTTCTATTTGCAGAAGGTGCCTGGTTTTAGGGCTGCCAGTGTTCTGTTCTAATATCCCAGTTCTGCATAACTTCACCTAAGTGATGTAACAGTACACCACTCCTTTTCCTTTCTTTTGTCCACTCCCTTATGAAACAGAAACTACAGTTATTACCATCGACCATTTAGGGTTGTCCTCTTTGCTGGATGGGTCGTAATGGGGATTATTTTTCTCAAACTGTGTGTGGTCTGGGTAAGCCTCCTTTACGATCTGAAAACAAATCCAAAATCTCCCATTCATTTTAGCTCCTTGCCCAAGTTTTAATATGTATCTCTTTGACTTTTTATCTTTTCTTCCTATTCTGACCCATCTCCCTTGCTATAAAGACAGTTGGTACGAAAACATCTAGAAATAAAATTATCCTAAGCAAACATCATTAGAAAAGAAATCCAATTTTCACAAAGCTTCACAAGCATGTTCTGAAACTAAATTACTGTTGGAAACACACGTTTTTATTTTCTCCCAGCTGCACACATAGTGTTTCCTTAACTCTTAGCAAAGAGGAGTTACCTAATAGAACTGCAGATAGTGAGAAGTATTAGCAGGGCCTGAAATGAAGGTCTTCCTATTGTAACTCTCATCATTCGGGTGATGGCAGGGCAGTTTTCCTCATTTTCTGTGACAGAACTGTCTGGGGGTGGGGCATACTTTTATTGTTACCGATTTAAATTGTAGGCTTTCATGAGTAAGTCCCTAAAGGGAGGAATCAGGCTAAAATGTGTGCACCTAACCTTCATAAGTCCCACGATGCCTGGCTGTTTGCAGTTGCTATGGTAGAAGAAGGCTTCCTCCTCCAACTTCATGGCCTTGAGGAAGTTCCGAGCCTGTGCCAGAGGAGAAGAAATAAGGAGTACCCTCCTACCAGCTGGGAAGCAATCAAGTCTGCTTTTAAAAGATGTTTTTTCCTGTTTGTGCTTCTCCCGGGTTCATAAGAAAATATGTCCCTTTATTCAGAGTCCTAGCCTTGTTCTAGGACACTAGCCAGAACCAAGCCACTTGCAGACTGCATGCTGTTACAGTGATTATGATTTCTGAAGACATTTTCAGGATAGAGCTCAGAGAAAAGCAATGTTGGTTCAAAGACCTTGCTGCTGAAGAGCACAGCAGAAGAGGCAGGCATATATCCTAGCCTAGGTTTCAGGGTTCCTGCCCCTTGACTCCGTACCTGATAGTTGCGAACTCCATCCCAGCATGCTGTCTGCTTGGGCTGTGCTTTGAGATCCTCAATGCTGAACTAGGCAAGAGAAAATAAAGTCATTCACTACATAGTCATTGACCAATTGATAAGCTTCTATGGAAACAAGATCTCTCTTTAATCCTGAAAAGTGCTACAGGCCATAAAGAAACTAGGTGGATTACCAGGAATTAGTTCCAGGGTGCCACGGATGTTGAATGAATGTAAACTAAGCCTCGGGTTTTACATTGTGATCTTTGCTAATTAAGATGATTAGTTGACTGGATAATCGGGATAATAAAACAGTCTGCTGGTTCCCTGTGTTTCACTTATTAAAGTATCATAATTCTTTAATATCTCTATTTTTCCTCAAGCTAGTATTAAACTCAGCTTATATTTATTCCCTGATGGCAATGCTTGTCAGGGAGACATCCAGGAGCATGGCAAGCAGTAAGAGGAAAATCACTAGTGCCAGGTGTGGCGTGGTAGTGCACACCTGTAATCCCAGCACTCCTAAAACCGGGGCAAGGAGGATCTTCAACTCAAGGGTATCCTGGGCCTCAAAAGTTAGGAGGCCATCTTGGGCTACATAGTAAGATCATCTTAAAAACACATAGCAACACAAAATCAAACTTAAGATTGACACTGGCAAGTTGAACCCTATGTCTGATTTTATAAATAAAGTTTTACCTGAACATAACCACACCTTTTTATGTGTTTGTCTGAGGTCGCTTTCTTTTCTTTGTTAATGGGACAGAGCTGCAACATAGGCTTTAAAACCCATAAGCCTCTCTGGCTCTGTTCAGAAAAAGTGCTAACCCTTGCTTAGACAGGAAACCCACAAAGCAGATGCAGGTTGGGCATGCCTTATGCTAGCATCTGAAATCAAGAACACTCTGGATTGTTCTAACTTCCAAAAACTTTTTTTTTTGATTAGGGATATTCCACTTGCAAAATCTAGAACACTTCTGGTCCTAAGAACTTTGGATAAGGGCTATCCAACCCTAAGCTAATGATAAAAATGCTGCAGATTCTACTTATTTTACCTTTTCCTTAATCTTCAAAGATGAGAAGCTGATGTCTGAGTCCTATAGTAAACTGTATTCACCATCTTCTTAGTAGTAGTTATGTGTGTCTGTGTATGAGGTGTGGAAGTATGGGTGGTCAGAGCACAGCTCTCAGGAGTCGGGTCTCTCCCTTTACGTGGCTTCCACTGCCCCATCGCACCAACACGACTTGACACAGGTACAGTCTCACCTTCATGTCTACACCTTTCTCTAGCCGGCTTTCTGGTTCTGACTTCATCAGCCAATAGTTGCTTACATTCTTGTCACAGTTTTTAGAGGTTGAAGTCATCTGTGGGCTGGGGCTCTCTAGCTTAGCTGATGCATTTTCTGAGTTTTTGGTTTTAATACGTTTTTCTGATAGCTCCTTCTTGTCTGTAATAGAAACAAAGGAAAATGCCTGTCATTCAGCTGGGAGGCCATGTTCCATTGTGAAAAACAGCAAAAAACCTTCTACTTGGTGTCATACCTGTGCTCAAAACTTAGACTCTATAAACACTAACTATTGGACCACAGTCCCATATAAAAGTAACTTCTTTATATGGGCCCGCAGGGGCTCAAAAATGACATCCTCTTGACTCAATACAACCATTGAAACCATCGATTCAGATCAACTGCAAATACTAGTACTGGACCCACACAAGATTGGCCCTGTTAACAGACATTCACAAATGTGGGAGGAGCTCACGGGGCCCTATCCCTTATTGCTAAAATTATTGGCTACTGATAGGTTCTGGGAGAAGGGGAGTCACTGTCTTGAATTATGTAGCCACTGCTGAGCTCACCAGCCTCCCCCTAGACAGCTCCAAACCCATGGCTTCATAATGGTCTTGGTTTAAACTCAGTGGGTAACAAACCAAAATGAGTGTAAGGTTTGTAGGCAAGAGCTAGTAAGACACAGATGAAAGTATGGGAGAGATAGGAGAGAGTGGAGTAAAAGTGATCTAAGAGTTACACAGATGGCTGTGATTAAGATTCCTAGCACCCACATGGCTCACAACTCCAGTCCCAAGAGATCTGACTCCCTCTTCTGGCTTTTGCATGTGCTGTGTGAGTTAGATGCATAAACATACTTGCAGGCAAAACATCCATACATATAAAATAAAAACATTATAAACTTTTAAAAGCTGCTTGGCAATGGTGGCACATGCCTTTAATCCCTGCACTTGGGAGGCAGAGGCAGGCGAATCTCTTGAGTTTGAGGTCAGTCTGGTTTACAGAACAAGTCCCAGAACAGACTGGCTACACAGAGAAACCGTTTCCCAAAAACAAACAAACAAAAATATTTTTTTTTTAACTTTTAAAAAAGTCCATTTACATTCTCTACATTTGTGGAATTCTCAAAGAAATTTAATTAGTAAAAAATACTCTGTCACAGGATACCTTCTAGATTACTCAATGAAGTCATTATCCAATGGAGCACGCCTTTAATCCCAGCACTCGGGAGGCAGAGGCAGAGGCAGGAGGATCTCTGTGAGTTCGACGCCGGGCTGGACCGACAGCCTCCAAAACAATACAGAGAAACCCTGTCTTGTAAAAACCAAAAAAAATAAAAAAAGAAAGAAAGAAAAAGAAAAAAGATTAAAGAGTACTAGCCTTTTATCAAGCTATACTTTCCAATGAGGAAATGAAGCACTTACTTGAAACTGTCTGAATGATTATTTGATAATACAAAGGAAAGACTTAGGAAAAATCTCATTACCACAAGTGTTCAGTAGCTATTAGCCATTATCATCATTCATACTTCTTGTTTCATACATGCCTTTCAGGACCATGCAGACATGGTAAAAACTAGACTTTTTCCTCCAACGGTAGGAACTGAACCCAGGACTTTACCATGGTAGATCAGCAATCTATCACTAAGCTATATCCCCACCCCTTTTTTTGTTTTATTTTTATGTTGAGACAGTCTCACTAAATTTTCCAGGCTAGCCTTCAGCTCTGTAGTCTAGATGAGTCATGAGTTAACACAGTCTAGCTCCTGATTATTATAGCTCTTGAGCACCAGCCTTGGTAGCCCCACCTGCCAAGTTCGAAAGATTCATCTTGGGGCTTCAAATATGCTAGATGGTGCTAGGCCACCGAGCCACGTGCCAGCCCTGAAATCTGGCTTTTAATCAGTGAATAAAAGAAAACATGCTCTTGACACAGCAATCACCCACACACCAGGCACTAATCCTAATTCGGGACAGCCTCCGAGGTGGTAACAATGTGCTGCAGATCACAATCCAGCCAGGTAGAAGGAAGCCCTGAATTGAGTCACAATTGTCACTTGAGTCAGTCAGAACCCACAGTTAACTTACTCTACTACCTCAGAATTAGTTTGCTACTGCCATCAGTCTTCATTAAGTATATCTGAACTTTCTTAGCACAATTTCCCAGCCATCCTTAAGAACAGGCATACGTATAGATTAGTGCCTTGTCCAGAGGTCATCAGAGGCTTCCTCTGGAGACAGATGGGAGCAGGTGCAGAGACCCACAGCCAACCATTATGCAGTCTAAATTGGAGGTCTCCATAGGGTCCCTCCCCTTGGGACTTGAGGGGGGTGGAAAGATGGTAGGAGTCAAAGGGGATGGAGAATACCAGAACAACTAAGCAGAGTTCACCTGGGCTCACAGACTGAAGCAGCAAGCATGGGGGCCTGCATGGGTCTGTGCCAGGTCCTCTGTGTGTATGTTATAGCTGTTGCCTTGGCATTTTTGTGGGATTCCTAACTGGAGCAGGTGTGTCTTTGACTAGCTCTTGGGACATAGTCCTGTTGGGTTGCCTTGTCCAGCCTCAGTGTGAGGGCTTTTTGCCTTGTCTTACTGTATCTTGTGTGTGTGTGTGTGTGTGTGTGTGTGTGTGTGTGTGTGTGTGTGTGTCTGGTTGTTGTCTCTTGGAGACCTGCTCTTTTTCTGAATCCAGACAGAGGGAGTGGATGGGAAAGGAGGGATGGCTGGGAGGAGCAGAGGGAGGGGGAACTGTGGTCAGGATATACTGTATGAGAGAAGAATTTATTTTCTTTTTTCTTTTTCTTTTTGTTTTTTCGAGACAGGGTTTCTCTGTATTGTTTTGGAGGCTGTCCTGGAACTCGATCTGTAGACCAGGCTGGCCTCGAACTCACAGTGATCCTCCTGCCTCTGCCTCCCAAGTGCTGGGATTAAAGGCGTGTGCCACCAACGCCCGGCTAAATTCTGCTTCCTTCTTGTGGCCTTTCCTGTGACCCTGCCCCTTCGATACCCCTAGCAAGCCTGCCTTAAGGACTTTTCACTCATACATGTTTGCATTTTCCCTTGGAAAAGGTACTGTATCTTCATTGTTTCCATCTGATAGTCAATTGCCTTTCTTCTATTATATTTTAACTGACAAACAAAAATTCTACATATTAAATAAGTACCAACTGCCATATGGTGTTTCTGTACCATGTATACATTGTTTAATACTTCAAACAGTTAGAATATATTTTCTGAAGCATCTATTTATTTATTTTGAGATAGTCTCAGAATTCTGTAGCCCAGGCTGGCTTCCAATTTGCAGCAATTATCTTGTCTTAGCTTCTCAAGTGTTGGGATTGCAAGTAAGAACAGGTGTTTTTGTTTGTTTTGGAGATGGGGGCTGTCTCATGCTGTAGCCCAGGCTGGCCTACAACACGGACAATTGTCCTCATGTCAGGCACGAGCTGTTCCATTCTGCTCTGTTGTTTATGGTGAAAGCACTTAAAATTCTTTGCTCCTGCTATTGTGAAATGTGCAGTGCATTGACATCAACAGCAGGAAAATACAGCAAGGGCAACTCACAACCTGGGATTCTCACAGCACACAAAAGAATTTCAAGGCCAGTGAGAATGAAGCAAATCTGGAGTTTAAGAGCTTTTAAGGTGGGCATATTGGTTCATGACTGCAATTCTCAACTTTAGAGCCTGAAGCAAGACACTGGCTACAAATTCAAGATCACACTAGCCTACAGAGGTCTGTCTCAAAACAGGAAAGGGTTAACATAAAACTAAGCACAGGCATTAAGAGACAGACAGGTGTGTCAGTAGAGGCATCTACTGCCAAGTCAAATGACCCTAGGGCCCATCTGATGACAGAACCAACTGCCAGGCACCAGCACATCGGCCATGACACATACATATAATCTGAAAATCAGAACGAGACGCAAGATAAGGACCTAGGACAACCCCTAGAGCAGCAGGGCTTATTAGCACAGCTGTACTAAGTGTCTTAGCAATAACTATTTTGGTAGTCTCTGAGGTGCATTGTTCAGGAAATTTACGATTAAGTAAAACTGTTTTGGATGATTTTATTAAACCTATAACAGAAGCACTTGGGAGTAGAGGCAGAAGGGTCAGGAATTCAGGTCATCCTCAGTTACTCAGCAATTCCAAATGAACAAACAGGCTGATAAGATAAAAACCTAGGAAAAGAAAACTGTGTATTGGGGATATGGGGTGAAGGTGGGGTGCGGTGTCCTGTAGCCCAGGCTGGCCTCAAACTCTATATGAAGTCAAGGAATCTCTTGAACTGACCTTCCCTTCTAGCTTTTAGTTCTACATGTAACAGTGCATGACTTTCTGTACCTGGCTCATTTCACTCAGTGATCTGAGGCTAGTGAGGTGGCAAACACATTTTCTTTTCTTTTTTTTTTTTTAACCAAGCCTGAGGACCCCAGTTTGATCCCTGAGATTCACAAGGTGGAAAAGGGGGACTGATCCTGCAAGTTATCCTCTGAACAAACTTGTGTGTGTGCTGCACACACACCTTGAAAAAGTAAAGAAATGTAATGTTAAAAATGTACTCTGTTTCCACCCATACTGGAAATGATACACACACACACTCTCTCTCTTTTTGGAGACGGGGTTTTCACTACTATGTAATCAGGCTGGTCTTGAACTCAAGGCAATCCTTCTGCCTCAACCTCCCACGTGCGTGGGCCACCTCAGCCCTGTATGTGTATGTACAGCAATGATCCTTAGTGCTTACTAGCTGTTTCTTGAATGAACAAACACGTGGTAAGGACTTCAAGCGGAAGTTTAGCAGAAAGAATAAAGATGACAGTAACAACCTTCAAGGTCTCCTCCCTCCAAAACCAGGGAGTGGAAAAATGAACAATGCACACCCAGCATAAACCTGCTTCGCCGGCTGCCTCTTGCAGCCTAGGTGCAGCTCACCTGGGCCAGCAGCCCCAGTCAGTCTCTTCCGGGGTCTCGGCATGTTCTCTCTGGCGGAGGCTCAAGATAACCCGACAAGCAAGAAGCAACTCTTGTCTTCCACAGCCTACGCGGTGCAAGGAAGCCTAAAGAGCCCGAGACTGGTGAAGAAAAGTCATGATTAAGGCATTGTAATCGTCCCCTCCGTTATCTGCCCCAGAACACTCCTTACTCCCTTATAGGGTTCTCCCCGCCACCATTCTCTCAACACACTAGCCAGACCTTTGAAGCGCGGCAGGAGGCTCTCCAGAACGCTTTGATAGACTAGTGTGCCTGGCGGGTTTTGTAGAGGACACGGCTCAGCGGCGCCGCCCCGAGGATCTCTGGGAATTGTGGTCCCAGCACCCCAGTAGTCCTCGTGGAGCTCGCGCTTCAAGGACTTTAATGGACTACAACTTCCAGGGTGCCACGGAGAAGATCGCGAGCTACAAATTCTGGCCTGGGCAAGCTGGTCCAGGGTCAGAAGACTCGGAGCAGTTGTGGCTATGTTGCAGTGTGGCTCCCGGCGCCTTAGCTGTCTGCGCGCTGCTTTCCGGGCCCTGGCTCAGACCGACCGCCGGAGCGTCTCCTTATGCATCGATCGTAAGGCTCATCAGGGCGAAGGGACAGCGGGACTTTGGTGGGCATCTGTGCTGGCCCGGGTTTCTTGTCTGCTTGCTGACTCTGGGCTTCGTTCTGACACGTATACCCGACACCCTCGGTCCGGTCCTCAGGTCCCTTGAAGGACTCATTTCGTCCTTAGACCCTGTCCCGTCCCGGACCCGCTCCCTCCTTCCCGTTTACCCCTCCCTTACCGGCCCTGTCCCCCGAACCTACTCCCAAAGCTAGTAAGAGTTTGTAACCCAGGATGTGCTCTCAAGACCAGCTTCCTTGTGGTCCAAGTGACCGGCTGTCAATCCAGCATAGAGCTCCCTTCCCTTTCCCTCCCAGGCATGGCCCACGCTTTATAGAGGTGAAGAAAATTGTGACTTTTGTTGGTTGAAATAGTAGCAATAGATTCCCAAGGTAGCAAGAACGTAAGAACATATGTGCTGATCGAGATGGATGAAACAAAAGCTTTATTCACGTATGTGAATTTCGTAATTTATAATCTATTAACAGAAAACACTTAATGCAGGAAAAAGAAAGATAACCACATTGAGAAACCCTACCACAGATTACAAACAGATTGTTTAGGAACCTGGTAGAAAACTTAATGTAACTGGGCGTGTTAATCATTTAAACAAAACAAAACAAACAAACAAACAAAAACCAAAATTGCTTTCCTTCTGAAGCAATTTTAAAAATTATTTTTATGTACTTAAAATAAATATCCATTGTTTATGGCAGTATGACCTTGACGATTGAGAACAGATTAAAGTACATAAAGGCTGTTCTCTGTAGTACAGATTAAAGTACACCAAAGCATCTCTTTAGAAGACCAGAGATGCTTTTAAAGGCAATTAGAACTGAATCAACAAAGTCGCCTTGTTTGATACCAAAGCTAGTAAGAGTTTGTCCCAGTAACAAAGGAACGAAGTGTGAATTTTTCTAATATATGCTCATTTGATTTGAGCAACTTAGATACTTTTTCACTCTTTTTAAAGAAGATACTGAAGTTAGGGCCCTACCTCAATCAGTTTACTTTTTAGAGTCAGGTGTCATGATACAGCCCAGGCTGTCCTTAAATTTGTCATGAAGTTCAGACAGACCTTGAATTCATGATCCTCTGTGACCTTGCCAGTTCTGGGATTATAAAAATGATATGCTGGCTCCGATTTACTATTTAACTTGCCATCTCCATTTATTTTTCTCTAAGCAATGTTTTCCTACTGTGGGTCATTTCTGTTTCTAAAATTAACTGTGTTTATTATGTAAAAAGAATATGTGGTTACATATTGTATTTACATATATATATATATACATATATATATCTTATATAAAACTACTCTTAGAATGAAATTCTACATTTCTAAGTCTTCGGTTACCTGAACTTGCTTGTCTTAGGAAGTAGCCCTTTATTTTATCATAATATAATAAAGATTCATTAATATATATTAAAGCTAGATGTAGTGGCTCATACCTGTAATCCCAGTACATCAGAAGTTTAGATGGAGGATTACCTCAAGTTTGAGGTCAGCCTGAACTACATAGTAAATTGCATGGGCTACTGTAAGCATTTCGATGGATCAGATGGGACAGGTATTCTGGCACTCGGAGTCAGAGCATACTTGGATGGAAAGGTATCCTGGAGCTTGGGAGCCAAGGAATACCACAGGTCACAGTAAACATAGCATCTTACAGCCCTGCTTCAGGGAAAGGCTTCCCCAGTGTAACAGTTCTGCTCTGGCAGGAGAGGGTCCCTGGCGAAGTTGTTTCAGTTCAGCTCTAGTTCCCCAGAGAGCAAAATATACCAATGTTGCTCTGCCAGGGGAAGGTTTCTGGTGAGAGTGTTACAGCCCTGCTCAGCTCTGCTCTGCCCAGGGTCGTCTCTGCTCCTCTGCAAAACACCAGTGTGGCAGAGGACAGCTGGGCAGCCCAAACAGCCACAAGCTGAACAGACCCAGGGTTTATATAGTGCTTCTTAGGGGGCAGAGTTTTCCAGGGAGATTTCCTGGGTGGGGATTGGTCAGATTTTAATCCCTGAATTTAGAATGGCTCAATCTCCTGCTCAGGGATTGATTGGTTTTCTGCACAGATTAGGGTCAGATTCGGCTCTGGTTTCAGGACCAAAGTGGTCCTTTTTAGCCTTTAAACTCTAGTTTTAAGGTCAGGGTTTCTTTCACTGGCTTTGATTCCAGGGATGGAGTGTCCCCCCTTCCAGCTACAGAGTTAGTCTCTGTCTCAAAAAACTAGACCCAAACAAAACAAGTAACAACAAACTATATTGAGTTCTTGCTAGAAGTAAAATTCTGTGGCACTTCTTTATACCTTAAGGTCTTTGAATTATTACCATTTAAGTGTGTGTGTGTGCACGCGCATGTGTGTGTAAATGGACCATATTCATCTTTGTAACACCAGCATTGCCACACAATCAATCCTCAAATATTTGTTGGGTGCAAGGTTACTGGTACTGGAGGTCAAACTCCAGGGAGTTGTTGTGGCTGGACAAGTACTTACTGCTGAAGTATGACTCCAGCCCCATTGTGTTGCTTGTTGTTTAAATAGTGAGTTTACTGTGCAGTTGTTTTTTTTTTTGTTTTTTGTTTTTTCCCTTTTTTCTCCTAGTACCATGAGTTGAATTCAGGGCCTCACCCATGCTAGGCAAGGGCGTTGCCACTCAGCGGCATTCTTCCCGGTTCTTTTGCAGAAGAGCATTAAACTGATCTGTAACAGCTCTTGTACAAGAAAGCATGAAAAAAAAATGGTCTGCCACCCCCTCTCCCACCCCATAAGAAAACTGTGGGATTTTCTTTTGTTGTTGTTTTTTATTTTTTGGTTTTGTTTCTTTGTTTGTTTGTTTGGTCCCATGCCATATTCCAAAGGGTGATACCCTCAGGATTGTGCTGTGGGTCTCTGAGGTTCTCTAGATGCTTCACAACTTTCCCTTTCTGAGTTTCCTTCCTCCCTGCCTTTTGATACAGGGTCTTACTGTGTAGCCGTGAATATTCTGGGAACTCCCTATGTAGGTCCCGCTGGCCTCAGACTCACAGAGAGGCACCTGGATGCTGGCATTAAAGGTGTGAACTGCCTTGCTAGGCTTACCTTTTTACTGAGAATGACGCCGAGATCTTGTCTACAAGAACAGACTGTGCCTTCAACGCTTGTGTGCTATTGGGAGGACTGGGTATAGCTGGCAAGCGCCAAAGTAATGTATTGTCCAGAATGGCTTGTACCTTTCCTTGTAAGTCTACATCTGTGTTTTGCCACCCCATCTCTTCCTCATAGTTTTTCTTCAGTATTCATTAGTATCATAATGGCTAAAGTCTTCTAACTGAAGGACCATACCTTAGAACATAACTACATAGTATCTGAATGACTCTCCACCCCCCACAGCCATCTCCGTACCCTCACCTTTTACTGGGCCTCTACTCATTCCTTCCTGTAGTTTGCCCCCTGAGTCAGTTGTTCTCACAGAAAAAAGAGGAATGGATGTGAACAGTGTAGGTCTGTCATATCCTCCCTCCACAAGTTTCTGGGTCTGCTCCACTGCTCTGGCTCCTGGAATTCATTCTGACTTCTCTTCAAGTCTTAAAAGGTCAGTGCTTTTCACTGGAGTTTTGCCTAAGCTCTTTGCTTTCAGTGCCCAGCCTGTCTCTGTTGAGGTCTGCTTGATCTTAGAAAGTATGGAAAGTACTCTAACTAGTAGGTAGACAATCTTGCTTCCCAATTCAGTCCTACCTTCCTTACTGAATGTGGTCTTTGAGGATGAACATTAAAACCAAATTCTGTGTTGTATGGCTAGGGGACCAGGTTACTTATGTTAGTGTCTCTCACTATTTCCTCTGATGAGATGCTCTTATAGTGTAGCCTTTGTAAGCTTTGTGAGTACCTAGAAAATTTCCCTATTCATCTATCCTACTTGTCTATCATTGTCAATTTGCCAATTCATTCTCCTAAGCTTCATTTATCTCAGTCTAAGAGATGAAACAGTTACCCAAAGTCCTATCGCTAGTGGCTAAGACAAAAAACTCCCTAAGAGTTCAACTTCTATATTGGAGATTTAACTGTGTCTCAACATAAGAAAGCTTTATTTATTTATTTAAGACAGTATTATCCAGAGTTGTATGGCCATACTATTCCATTGCCATCTTAGTTGGAAAGTATGCCAAAGTACACAGATAATTATGATTTCTCAATTTTATGTTTTAATGTGAACATGTTGGTGGAAACAGTGACTGCTGCCAGATTGGGTGGGACTTTTTCAAGTTTTTTTTTAATGCAGAAAAGCTAGGACAGCCCATCGGAAAACATGCCATTTGAAGGCTTCTGTGTTTTTTATTTTTGTTTTGCAATGCTGATCTTGAACTGGGACCTCAATGAGGCAACCTTTTCGTTGGATTGTATCTGCAGCCCTTCATTTAAAAAAATGGATTTATGAGTAAGAGGAGATAAACAATTTTGAAAAGGCAGCTGACCCACTTGGAATTAAAGGAAAAATGGTGGGCCAGCAAGATGACTTAGTGGAGGTAATGGCACTTGCCACTGAGCATGATGGCCTGACTTTAATCCCCAAAACCTACTCCCAAAATCTGTCCTCTGACCCCCACGTGCACCTGCACACAAACACACATTCACACACAGAATGAATAAATACAGTCACATTTTAAAAGATAAGTAGTGCTATTTGATGAGTTAGTATCTTCTTGTATCCTGCGCAGGGCTGGACTAGAGCATGAGATCCTACCTCAAAAACAATAACAATGAAACACGTAAAAGATGGCACCATTCTCTTGCTCTGAAAGGATATGTCTAGGAAATGCATTCATTGTTAGTGAAACTCTTCTCTCATTTCCACCCCAGAATTGAGTATGTCTGGTCCTGTTCACAGCTTCCTTGGGACTAAATGAAGAACAGAAGGAATTTCAGAAAGTGGCCTTTGACTTTGCTGCTCGGGAAATGGCTCCCAAAATGGCAGAGTGGGATCAGAAGGTAGGCGTCTTCTTGTGGCTAGAAGTTCCAACCAAATGCCTGGTGAAATGACTCCCCTCTCCCTTTTTTAGACCTAACTGCTCAGTGTCTGTTCTCCACTCACTAACTCTTGCTGCAACTGTGAAAACTGATGGTAGATGTGTTAGATAGTTTGATGTCAGCTTGACGAAAACTGGCGTCATCAAAGAGGAAGGAGCCTCCAAAAGATGGGGCTGCAGCCAAGCCTGTAAGGCATTTTCTTAATTAGTGATTGATGTGGGAGGGCCCAGCCCATTGTGGGTGGGGCACCTCTAGACTGGTAGTCCTGAGTTCTAAAAGCAAGCAAGCCAGCAAGGAGCACTCCTCCATGGCCTTGCATCAGCTCCTGCCGTCTGCCCTGCTTGAGTTCCTGCTCTCACTGCTTTTGATAATGAGCTGTTGTATGGAACTGTGAGTGAACTAAACCCTCTCCTCCCCAAGTTGCTTTTGATCATTGTGTTTCATCACAGCCTAGTGACCCTGACTAGAACAGTAGATGACTCCTCATAGAAGTCATCCCAGACATCATGTAGCCATCTCTTGTCTTTCTTACTTGAATAGAAAACATTTTGGAGAACATATGTTAACTGATGCCACTATAAAATAGCAAGGGCATTTGAAGTTAAGAGAGTTCCTATAGTCTCCCAGATGCAAGCATCCTAATCCTTTCATTGTCCCCTCTAAAGGAAAGCCTGCCTCAGGACCGGTCCCTGACTGCCCTGCTCTCTTCTCTGTAGGAGCTGTTCCCTGTGGATGCGATGCGGAAGGCTGCACAGCTGGGCTTCGGGGGGATCTACGTACAGACAGACGTGGGTGGGTCTGGACTGTCTCGCCTCGATACGTCTGTCATCTTTGAAGCCTTAGCCACAGGCTGCACCAGCACCACTGCCTATATAAGCATCCACAAGTGAGCATCCACACCTAACAGCATGGTGGAGAGCCATGCTCACATGGGCTGGTAGGGAAACTTCAGACTCAGAAGAAGAAGATGAATCGTATTGAGTTGACAGTACCTGAGAAACTAGACTGTTACTGGTACACAGTAGGTCTGCAGCTGGCTGCTGGATTTGATTCTGTTGTCTTCTAAATTAGTGCTTGGGGAATCGGTTCTGCTGACCTTCTCCCAAGTCCCAGCAGACTACTCCAGTTTTCCTCAGTCTACAAATGAAACCTCCAGTAATTTGATAAAGTGATAGGAAAAACATTTACCTCTGATTTTTAGGACTCGTTAATCTGAGAAACACGTGGACCTCAGGTATAAATACCCTGAGAGTGTTTTTAAACTAGTCCCTTCCTTTGAAGTTGGACCTTTTCATTTGTCTCTTTCCTTCCCCGCTCGCCTGCTTTCATTTCTGCTTTGTTGCTCTTTGTTTCTTTCCCTGCCTCCGCCCCTGCCCCTGATTCTCTCTTCTGTCTTTGTTTCTGTCCATGCCTTTTCTCCTTGTCAGCATGTGTGCCTGGATTATTGATAGCTTTGGCAATGAGGAACAGAGGCACAAATTTTGCCCGCCGCTCTGTACCATGGAGAAGTTTGCTTCCTACTGCCTCACTGAACCAGGTGCGTTTGTCATCCCTGCAAGTGGCACCTAGCAAGGAGAGAAGTGGAACCTGTGTGGTCACTGAGCAAGCTCAACCACTGGCGCATAATCTGGCTTACCAAATATTTGGTTGTGGAGTATAGGTCCCAGAGGCCTTTAGATCAGAGTTCCTCCTGGCTGCACACCTCTGTTAGCTGGTTTGTTAGAGACAGTGAACTGCTTGGTGCAAGCAGTTTTTACCAAGTAGGAAGAATTCCTTGGCCATGTGGACTTTAAAATAGTGCATGATGAACTCTCTGAGGAGGATTTCCAGGATGTGGAACTGTGTTGAGCTCCTTCCTCTTCGCTGACTCCCTTCCTTGTTTGTTCCCTTTGGGTCCCTATTTCAGGAAGTGGGAGTGATGCTGCATCTCTTCTAACCTCAGCCAAACGACAAGGAGATCATTACATCCTCAATGGTTCCAAGGTAAGAGCATGCATTCCCAGGGCCACTGGGGGCCCTCCCTCATGCCCCCAATTGCCCTCAGTTCTTTTGAGTCTGTGAATTAACATTCCCACGTAGGAGTTTACGTGGTGGGAAGTGTATCTTTTACGATCCAACTCTACACAATCGCATGAGTTTTTGTCTCCTTTCTATTCTTACAAACTAAATCCCTGATACTGGAGACACTGCCAGAGCCTTTTACCACCCTTTACCCATTCTCTGCATCATGCCTTTGTTCTCTTGTCAGGAGTGTTCCAGTGGTTTTCTCAGATGTCAGGCTCCAAACTCATGCATTCCCTTATCCTCACACACCCCGTCTCCACCCGCAGGCCTTTATCAGTGGGGGTGGTGAGTCAGACATCTATGTGGTCATGTGCCGAACTGGAGGATCAGGCCCCAAAGGCATCTCGTGCATAGTGGTTGAGAAGGGAACCCCTGGCCTTAGCTTTGGCAAGAAGGAGAAGAAGGTGAGTGGCTACTCAACTGTGAGCAGCTCAAGTTGTGAGTCTCTGCTCTCTGTCAGACCAACTCCTGCCCTGTTTCACGGAATACTTCAAGAGTGAGTATGTAACAGGGACGCCTGGGAAAAGACAAGCTTTGCCGTCTGGTCTCATAAGCTGCGATTGTTTAACTTCTGTGGTTTTTTTCCTGAGGCCACTTTTGTTCTTTTTTTTCTTTTTCTCTTTTTCTGTGCTGTACATTTATGCGCATGTCTTGGCGGGGAATTGATGTTGGGTGTCTTCCTCGGTTGTTTTCCCCCCTTACTTTTTGGTCAGGGTCTCCTTTAATTTAACTACTTCACTTTTATTGTTATTGTTTTTGAGGCAGGGTCTTACTATGTAGTCCTGGTTGTTCTCGCTCTGTAGACAAGGCTGGTCTCAGACTCACAGAGATCTACCTGCCTCTGCCATTGTGCCTGGCCAGACAGCATCTCCTTATGAGCCTGGAGCTTGCCTCTTCGGTGAGACTGGCTGACCAGTAAGTTCCAGGATCCTCCTGTCACCACCTTCCAGATGCACCCGGCTTGCCATGTAGGTACTGAGGATTGAACTCCCGGCCTTGAGCATGAGCAGCAAACACATTAGCATTGAGCCATCTACCCAGTCCTTGCCCTATATTGCTTACCCAGCTTTCACCATACTTTGTTATCTCAGAAAGAGACACTTACGAAGATCTGATGCATGCCAGAAGTCTCAGGACACTTTCCTTCTCTAAACAAAAGTAAAATACTCATCGACAGGGAGAGGCTGTAGGGGTTTCAGCCATGTGAGGACTTGTTTCCACAAGTGCTTTGACAAGTAAGATGCTCCTAGGATTAAGAAACCCCATATCGCAGGTCCTGAACAGGAAACTTGTGATAATGTAATTGCTGATAAGTTAGGGCCCATTGAGTTATTTTAAGGACAGGTAATCAAAACAGGAGTGCCGTTGTTGCCCTTAGATTAGACTTTTGGAGATAAGTTGGGTATGGAACCCCTAAATACTTCCTACATCTACACAGGGTTTACACATTTTTCTTCATGATGCTTTCAGGCTCCTAACAACTGCCAAGGAGTTAAATATAGGTTTGAGTGCCTCCTCTCTTTTGTAGCATAAGTCATTATATGCCTACAGTGTTTAAAGCTATGAGCTGACTCCTGCAAGGATACAGAATCCTTTGTAAGGAGTCTTTTTCTGTCCTGCCAGCCAGCCCCCAAATAATGACATGGAGACTTATTATTAATCATGGAAGCTAAGTCTATAGCTTAGGCTTGTTCCTAACTAGCTCTTATAACTTAAATCAACCCATTTCTATCAATCCATGTTCTACCATGTGGTGATACTTCTCTTCCATCTTGCACATCCTGTTTCCTCTCTGTGTCTCCTGGCATCCCTGCACACGTAAATTCCTTCTCTTCCTTCCTCTCCCTGGAAATCTCTCCTGTACCTCCTGCCTAGCTATTAGCCATTCATCTTTTTATTAGACCAATAACAGCAATATATCTTCACATAGTGTACAAACATCCCACAATAATCCTTGGTCGTCTCGAGCCCTGTTTGAACTTATGTGTATAGAATCTCTATAGCTGGCCATGGTGGTGCACACATATGATTCCATCATTCGGAACAGTAGGATTGCAAGTACTAGGCCATGTGACACACACGCACCAAAATTATTATTATTATTATTTTTTTTTTACGAGACAGGGTTTCTCTGTATTGTTTTGGAGGCTGTCAGTCCAGCCTGGCCTCGAACTCACAGAGATCCGCCTGCCTCTGCCTCCCGAGTGCTGGAATTAAAGGCATGCGCCACCACCGCCCGGCCACACACCAAAACTATAACAACAAAAATATTTGCCTGTTTTCAGAAGCAAAAAGGCATTTTTCCATGTATAGATGAGGTTGCAGTAAATAAGATAGAGTCTAGATTCTTTCAGTTGTCATACTTAACAATATTAATGAGTTTATGGGAGGAGGATAATTATTTACTTTAACTTCCATTTTAAAGTATCTAGGTTGGGTTTTTTCAACTGTCCCTTTCACAGTCCCATGTCTCCCAGCAGCTGTGTTGCTTGTAAGCAATCAAAAAAGTCAAAGACAATACAATCCTATAGAGGATCCAGACTCCCTTTGTATTTCCCATCTCTACATGGCTTACTCTTTATTGTTATTATTATTTATAAACTATTTACTTTTTCTATGACTGTCTATAAAAATGTACCATGTTTCTTTTGGGCCACCAACCAGCTCCCAAATCATGACATGGAGACTTTTATTAGTTTTGAATGCTTGGCTTTGCTCAGGCTCATTTCTGGCTAGCTCTTTTAACTTAGCCTGTTTCTCTTTATTTACCTTTTGCCTTAAGGCTTTTCACTTTTCTTTCCTTCTGTATATCTTACCTTTACTGCCTTTTTTTTTTTTTTTTTTTTTTTTTGTCTGCTATTTGGCAGTTGCCTGGCTGGCTCTGGGGGAATCCCTCATTCTCTCCTCCTTGTTCTCATTCCTCCTGTTGGTCTCTGCCTCACAGCCCCGCCTATCCCTCTCCTGCCTACCTATTGGCCACTCGCTTTCTATTAGACCCATCAGATGCCTTAGGCAGGCAAGGCGAAACAGTTGTACACATCTTTCAGTAATTAAACTCATATCCTTACATCCTTAAACAAATGTACCATAAACAAATGTAACACACCTCTACACAGTTAAAGTAATATTCTGCAGAATAAACAAATGTAACACATCTTTGCCTGGTTAAAATAATATTCCACAACACAGAGGGCATCATTTGCCCCTTCCTCTAGCCCCCTATAGCTTTTCTAGTGCCTTAGGGAAGAATTCTCTCCATATAGGAACAGAAAGCAGATTGTGTGGCTTGGGCACATGTGCATGCTTGTGTAGGTGTATATGGAGGCTGAGGGTAGCTTTGGGTGCTGTCATAGTGCTTTTCTATTGCTGTGAGGAGTCACTGTGACCAAGACAACTTATAAAATAAACCATTCAATTTGGGGCTCCCAATTCCAGAGGGGTTAGAGTCCATGACAGTCATGTACTTACGTACATTCTGGTACACAGGCAGCAGGCAGAGAGAGAGAGCTAACTATGAGTGACTTTTAGGACCTTAGAGCCAACCCCCAGTGACATACTTCCTCCAACAAGTCACATCCCCTAGTCCTTCCCAAACAGTTCTGCCACCTACTGACCAAAATTCAAATAGATGAACCCAAGGGGGGGCGGCATTCCCATTCAAATGTCCTCTCACTCTCCTCTGTTTTTTTTTTTCTTTTTTTTTATTGTTTTGTTTTGTTTTGAGACAGGGCCTGCTACTGATTCGAACACATGGGTTTGTTAGATTTTCTGGTCAGTGAGCTATAGGAATCTGCCTGCTTTCATTCCTCCATTTCCATACACACACCAGTTGCAGATGTGTGTGTAGTAACATCTGGCTCTTTATTTGGGTACTAGGGATTAAACTGAGGACTTCTTGCCTGTGTAGCAGGTGTTTCTACCACTGAGCCACAAAGACACATACTGTTTACAGTAAAGATTTCATAGGTGTAAGAAGGTCGCAACTATTTGTAGTTTGTTTCTTTAATGACTAGACATTCTTAAGGTCAAAATTTTCAAATACATTCTTGCTTTCAGATGTCTGTATTCAGTTTGAAGAGATGAAATATAGAGGTAGCCATTACACAGGCCAGCAATGGGAAGTTTCAGACTTTGGGTAGAGACTACAGGGGCATAGAAGAGGATAAATTCTTTGACTTTTGACTTCCTGAGACTGGATCTCCATGGAGCCCAGACTGACCTCAAACTTGCTGTGTAGTAAAAGATCACCTTGAACTCCTGCTCCTCCTGCCTCTGTGCCCAAGTGCTAGGTTTGCAAGCAGGCGCCACCATGCCTGGCTAGAAAGTTTTTTGTTAGGAAATGATGTAAAGGCCATGTTTTCCAGGTAGGAGGGAGCTCAGGCATTGCGTATAGTTCATGGTTTTCCTGAGCTGCCTTGTTGAGACCGAAGCTCCTTTGAGTTTCTGAGTACCTTGAGGAGGAGCCGACAGGGATGAAGTAGTGAGGCCTTTCTATTTATACATGAAATGTCAGAGTGAGACTTTGGTAACAGGATCTACGAACTTTCTAGCTCAGCTTTTGTACTTTTATGTAAGGAGGCAAAGATCATGAAGAAGTGATTTGTCCAAAGATGGAAATTATGACCAGGTTGATTGGTTCTCAAGTTTTTCTGTGCTTAAATCTGACATATCCAGTGATGTTCCAGTAAGACATTTTTCTTGGAGAAACAAAACAAAAACTCGTATTTGTGACATTTGCCATTCAATGACTGATTTCAAACCACCATTGCAAGTTCATAGAAGGCCAAGTTAGAAGAAACGATGTAATTGTTCCTAGTGAGTTGATATCACATTACTGAATCTCACTGAAGCTAAATGTTAGATCAGGGCTCCCCAGCACAATGCATGCTATTTATCTTGTCCAGGTGTAGCACCTTTTAGGGACAAGAGACCTTTGAGAGAAGTGTGCTTATTGTTCACAAGGCCTCTAAAAGTAAACTTTTTGTGCTTGCTTTGGCAGCACATATGCTAAAAGTAAACTTTCCCAAATAATCTCTCATAGAAGTTGTATTCATAGAGACACTGAAAAGGAAGACAGATCTGGCCCTGATCCTACAAGACGTGAGAAGTATTTGTAGATAGAGTACACAAAGTGTAATATGTTACACTGTGTTACCCAGGCACGGGAGACTCAGACCTATAATCCTGGCACTGGGAGCCTAAGGCAGGAAGAGCACACTACAGATCAGTCTGGACTACACAGTAGGAAACACCATGTTAAAAAATAAACCAAGCACTGCTTACCTGAAATAAGCATCTTTTCTAAGTAACAATAAACCTTTACATCTGAACTTTTTTCTTCCTCTGTTTTGTGTTCTTATGGGTTTAAGTGTCAGGGTACTGGAACCCAAACTTTACAAGCTTCTGTCTACAGGGAAGGCTGCCCTGCTTGGGGAATCCTTGGGCAACCACCCAGACCCTGATTTTTGCCAGGTGGGGTGGAACTCACAGCCAACCCGAGCAGTGATCTTTGAAGACTGTGCTGTTCCTGTGGACAACAGGATTGGGAGCGAGGGGCAGGGCTTTCTCATCGCCATGAAAGGACTGAACGGAGGAAGGATCAATGTTGGTGAGGCCAGAAAGGAATTGGGGAAGGGAGGCAAAAGCTGAGGCTAGCAGCTGTCCAAGCCCAGCTGAAGTCCTGACTCCTCCTCTCTAGCATCCTGCTCTCTTGGGGCTGCTCATGCTTCAGTTGTCCTTACCCAAGAGCACCTCAAGGTCCGGAAGCAGTTTGGAGCACCTCTAGCCAGAAACCAGGTAAGACACCTGGGGTCTGCATTTGTATTCTGTTGAGATCTTCCCTAGGGTCCACAGTCTTGGTGGAATTGGGTGGGGCTGGTACACATTTAGAATTTTCCACCCTCTTAATCAGAAGGTATGTTTCACGTGTACCTGTGCCTTCTTTCAGGAGGCAGTAATACCAAGGCAAGCAAAGAAGGCTTTAGAGATGGCAAGAGACTTTGACGTACCTAGGAAGAGTATCTAATTTGAGATATCTTTGCACATGTGCATGGCATGCATGTGGGTGCACGTGTGCATGAGTGTACACACACAATTACATCCGTGTCATAGTGCATATGTGGAAGTCAGGGGATAGTTTCAGATGTTGGTTCTCTCCTACCATGGGATCATCTGGGGGGGTAGAACTCAGAGTGTTAGTTCTGTATGTGTATAAGTACCTCTACTCGCAGAGCTAGCTTAAGATGTCTTATCAGTAGTTCCAGATCAGGTAGATCCCAGATGGCCTGTCTAAACCAACGTGTCCTTTTTGGTTCCATTCTCTCCTGTGGCTGCAGCACCTGCAATTCCAGTTAGCAGACATGGCCACCAGGCTGGTTGCCTCCCGGCTGATGATCCGAACTGCGGCAGTGGCTTTGCAGGAGGGGCGGGATGATGCAGTGGCCTTGTGCTCCATGGCCAAGCTCTTTGCTACGGATGAATGCTTTACTGTAAGTGACAAGTCTTCTGGCCTTCCTGACATAGACAGAAAGCGCTGCTCTGCTTGGGGATTTTGAGAGAGATGAGCCATCTATAGAACCCTAGCCTCCTGTGAATCACTTTGGGACTTAAGAATCCAAATGAATTTGCAAAAGGCCTGCAATGAAGCTCTCCCTGTTGCCTTTGTAGCCTTCTCTGTGATACTAAGTGCATCAGTAAGACTCTGTCTTTCGAATGTGTTCTAGATGAAGCACATCTCTCTAAGGTAATGATGCCAGCCCAAATTTAGCACTAATTGCCCCATTTACTTAAGCATGGAGCTGTTTCCATGCTGAGACCACATGGCCACCAGGTGGCGTCGGAACTTCCTCTAATCAGTCAGGGTGGTTGTAGATAGCTTTGCCTCCAGAACAGCATAATGAAGAAATGCAGATGTTTGTGCATTGTTCAGTGGGAGGACTGCCTTTGTGTCTGACCATTTAGAATCTGGAACTCCTCTTGGGCTCTGTTCATTCTCTCATTGTTTATAGCAGACTGCCAGGCTGAGGTTTGGAGTGGGGAGGGAAGTAAGTACTCCACAGGCTTCCTGGGACCAAAGACTTCTATCTGCTCCCTGTCTCTCAGCAGATCTGCAACCAGGCTTTGCAGATGCACGGGGGCTATGGCTACCTGAAGGATTATGCTGTTCAGCAGTATATGCGGGACGCCAGGGTCCACCAAATCCTAGAAGGTAAAACTTTGCAGAGTTCGTTTTATTGCTATGCTTTTCCCAACCTATCTCAGTACTTCTGAGCTGGGATCCTGCCAGGCCCTGTGTTTTTTTCTCCATTCTTGCTTTCCTCAGCCCCTCTCTGAGACTGGTCTCCTGCTACGTTAGAAAGCTCCCTAAGCTGGGAGCCAGGAGACTCTGCTTTACCCTCACGAGTGAGGCATCACTCCACTTCTTTTCGTAGATTTCAAAGAAGGTTCCAACCGAACTGGTATGTGAGCAGTCTTGTTGAAAAGCACCCTGGTGATAGTTTGTACTGTGGTAAAGAACTTGGACCTCAGGGATCCTAAATGTCCAAATAGTGGTCTGGCAGTTGCACTGTCTAAATGTTATCCTCATCAGCATTGCCGGTATAGTGTTTAGTAAAATCGTCAGCGTGTGGCTTTCTCCTTTAACTACAGACATCTGTCGGGCAACTGTGTGAGCTGCTAGTCAGATGCAGAGTGTGCCTTCCATTCAGCAGTCAGAGCATTAGTCAGGAAGGACCACAGCTCTGTCCCGGCTAGTGTAGGCAGCCAGGGCTGCCACAGGACTGGGGAGCGTGGGATGGAAGCTTCTCTTGTGCTTCTTGGTGAAACAGTGTAGGGGTATTTATTGGGGTCACAGAAGACTCTGAGGATTTGCTTCCCTGCCTTCAAAGGGGTCCATGTCATACCTGAGTGGGCACCGTAATCTCCTCCTGAGGAACTTGCAAGCAGGCTGCTGGGTCCACCTTCAGAGTTTCTGCTCCACTGGGCCGAGCAAAGGCTGTGGTCACTGGTATGGAAACAGTCTGAGCCCCACTGTCCCTGTGTCTGAATTCTAATCCTAGAGGACTGCTTTCTATACAGACTTGAGCTCTAACCTTTACATGACTCAGGCCCTTATACTGAAATGAAACTTTCAGAGGATTTTGAATGGGAAATGTCACCCCTTTTCAAGGAAGTTTGGATTTGGCTTTCTTTGAGATGGTGTGATTATTGGTTCCACAGGGGTTTTACTTTGTAGTTTGTTTGTACTGAAGGACACTATTAAAAATAAAATGAGCTATTAATTCCCTACTTCAAGACAAATGTTTTATGCTTTAGTTTTCTGACTACAAAAGAAGTATGTATTGTTGAAAATCTATAAAATATACAAAAAGTAAAAGAATCATTCAGGTTTCTACATTTAGGATTATATATACATACCTACATATATATAAATATATATATATATTTAAATTCTTTGGACTTTTTTCTATCCTTTTACAAGTACGATGAAATTTTAAAAATTAAGTTATACTATTTTTCTTTTACTTCTTTAATTTAATACAATTATTTTTATCCTCAGGAGAGGTGTCTTAAAAAATGTAAATAGTATTCCACTGAGCCAGCAAGATGGCTTCATTGGTAAAGGCACTTACTGCCAAGCCTGAAGGCCTGAATTTGATCCAGGACCCACATGGCAGAAGGAGAAAAACAGTCATGCAAGTTTTCCTCTGACCTTCACATGTACACCACGTTGTGGGTGTACCCACACACATACACCCACTCGCACACACAGTAAATACATGTAATTAAAAAAATTAAGGCATAAATATTATTGGGTTGATGTTGTACATCTGTAGTCCTAGCACTGGTAGGAACAGGAAGGTCAGGAGTCCAAGGTCATCCTCAACCATATATCAAGTTCAAGGAAAGCCTGGGCTACATTAGACCCAGTCTCAAACCAAACAACAAGACCTGTAAATACTGCCTCTTACACTGTCATTTTTGTGTAATTACAAAAGAAGCAGCAGTTGTAGTTTAAATCCATGACTGCCCTTTTCCTACTGAATCCTTCGTTGTTCCTTTTGCAGGTAGCAATGAAGTAATGAGGATGCTGATCTCTCGAAGCCTGCTTCAGGACTAGCTCCCAAACTGAGAGTCTAGCCTGGGTTCATGTGCAGCCACCGTCAGTGTTGAGTGCTCATACAGGTTGCCCAGTTGCAAGTGGATCCTGGAGTAGGTTGAGGAGCTGCACTCTTCTGACAGAACCTGAGTCGTTAGCAGCAGTGCTGGTGCTAAGACAGGGACAGGTTTCTCAGGGCTGGAAGGGCCCTGAGGAGCCACACCAGGAGACCTGCCACCTGCTTTCCTCATTCTGGAAAGACAAACGGTCGGCGCTATGACTTGGATCCATGCTATGCAGTTTGCTGATTTCTGTCTTAGGGTCTGGGTACTTCAATGAAGCTTTTCCTGATTGTAGATGCAAAGTGTGGGCAGGCAAGGGCAGTGGACATCCTGTTTCTGTTCGGCACTGGCAGGGGCTCAGGACAGCACTCCTGAACTCAGATCATGATTATTTGGGGACCTACTGTTAAGCTATGAATTAGGGTATTCCTTTACTCCTGCCATCATGTAATAAATGTCAAGGGCTAAGGTTATTTGGAACACTTGAATTTTTATATGGGCTTTTATTTCCTCTTTTTAAGTACTTTTATTAGTACCTTGGTAAATAAAATCTACCTCTTTACTATCTCTTTCAACTATAAGCCTTAAAACTGTAGTTTATTTTATTCAATATTTAATTGGATTTTAGAAAGATGAGGAATGTCTCCTAAGGCAGTTTGTCTTTTAAAAAGTACATCCTTTAATTTATAATTCTGCCATCAAAACATTATTTGTCACGTATGGAAGTCTAAGTATTACTCAGTGATTAGGACTTTGGGGAAAACCCTAGTACAGATGATTATTTAGTCCATCTTCTGATGTTTAGAAAAGAGAAGTGTGCAAGATATTTTATTAACCATAAGTCACTGATTATAGAAAAGGGTATATGTCTATAGCTAAAATAGACATTTTTGTTTCTAAATGCTTACCCTGTCTGGAATTGTCTTGTACACGGGAAGCAGGGTGTGATTCCAAGTTGAAAATGGGATTCTGCTGTCCACAGCTGTGCTTAATAGGAGCCGATGTAGTTCCTGTCACAGTGTCCGTACAAGACAGGATAGCCTGGGGAAAGGTAAGGCAGAAAGGTCCACAGAGGAGGTAAAAATTCAGATTAAGCTTTTATGAAAATGTTTAATATTTAAAGGGAAACTGTTTTGCAGAAAAAGTCAGGGGAGGGAGTACAAGATTTGTGTGGGCAGTGTTGACATTTGTGTTCATTGAGGCTTGGGGTTGCATGAAACAAACTATGTTAAATGCAGACAGAATAGTGTGTGTGTGTGTGTGTGTGTGTGTGTGTGTGTGATGTTCACGTGTGAGCACCACTTTGTGTGTCAGTTCTTTCCTTCCACCACAAGGGGCTCCAGGAATCAGACAGATGGAGCTTGTACAGGAAGCATTTTTACCCACTGAGCAACCTCACCAGTTCCAAATCAATCCATTCTTGAGAATATTCAAAATTGCTGGGCATTGTTGGCACACGCCTTTAATCCCAGCACTCGGGAGGCAGAGGCAGGCGGATCTCTGAGAGTTCAAGACCAACCTGGACTACAGAGCAAGTTCCAGGACAGCCTCCAAAACAATACAGAGAAACCCTGTCCCGAAAACCAAAAAAAAAAAAAAAAAAAGAATATTCAAAATTGCTAAAGTGTGGGAGTCTCTTATCCTGTACTTGGAAACAGAGGGAAGAGGAACCTGGTTGTTTGGAGTCCTTGTTATTAACCAGTCTGTTTGCTGGCATTGCTGTGGTTCCTGTACCTCCTCAGAGCAGTGACAATGCTATCTATCTTGATGCCTTTGAGATTATGGTTATTGAAAAGTACATGCTGTGGGACAGAAATGATAGAACACAAGTTTGATTCCCAGTGCCCACATCAGGCATCTGACAACTACCTGTAACTACAGCTTCTGTAACTCTGGTCCTCTGGGCACCTGGACTCATGTGCACTTTCCCTCACACAAACACATGTGAAATACACATAATTAGAATTCAAAACAAAACATGCAAACAGTCCTTTAATCCTAGCAGTCAGAAGGCTAGAGCAGGGTGATTGCTGTGGATTCAAGTGCAGCCTGGACTCCCTCCAGAATGAGTGGCCCTAGTTTGAATTGGCAATGTAGCTCACTTAACTAGTGAGCAGGGCCCCTTAGGGTTCCACCTCTAGCAGTGAAATAGTTCTTACTGTCATCTTCAGCTATTACTAAGAAATTTCATATTTCTAATCATCTAGCAAGCAAGTGGTCAATGAACTTTTAACTAATTCCCATCATTGTTCTAGCTCATAAGTAAAAGCAAAAATACCAGAGCAATAGTCACTGTTCTTTGAGAAACACTCATGGTAAGGCCAGGTATACAGTAAGGCATTCAAGTTTGGGGTCTAGGAAAATGCATCACTGAAGGAATTGAGACAATGCTGTGGGTTGAATTGTATCCCCCCTCAAATAATTCCGAGCATCTTGGCATGAAATCTAATTTGGCAGCTATAACTAGTTAAAGCAGGGTGATGAAGTCTGCTGTAGGGTAGACCTATAAAACAGTGTAACAACTTAATGAATCATGCGAAGACTCAGGTCCAAAGATGCCACTGAAGCTGTCACAAGAAGCCAGAACAGGTGCATGGGACAGGTTGGCCCTCACAGCTCTCAAGACAAGAAACAGACTTGTGACATTCTGATCTAGAACTCGTAAAATGTTTGCTGGCTAAGCCTCCCGACCTGTGGTAATTTGTTATGGCTTCTTAGCTGAGTCATAGGATCACCGTCATTGAAATCTTGTGCAGCAATATGTTGGAACACTTTCTCAAACAGCAGAGTAGGGCTGAGGCCATAGCTCAGTGGTTTGCTTAGTAAGCCATTTGTTCCACAGCATCAAAAAAATAATAGTATATTTCCCAATACTAACAATAAGAAACTGGGAAGGAAAGGTTTTTTTGGGGGGAGGGGTTTTGAGACAGGGTTTCTCTGTGGCTTTGGAGGCGGTCCTAGAGCTAGCTCTTATAGACCAGGTTGGTCTTCAACTCTCAGAGATCCGCTGCCTCTGCCTCCCAAGGGCTGGGATTAAAGATGTTTGCCATTTAAAATGTCCCCAAACATTTACATTTAACTACAAATGTAAAAGATACACAGGTCCTCTCTACTGAATATTTTTAACAATGCTATGAAAAATTTTAAAGTTGTAGACAAAAATCTCATTGTTAACATTAAGGTTTGCCTTTTAGTTCATCTGCACAATAGCTGAATCAATGCAGTTCAAAAATCACAGATTGTATGTACAGTGGGGGCGGGGATTGTTGAAAATAGAATGTGACAAACTTATTCTAAAAGTATAGAAATACAGGACCTAGATATGTCCATTGCTGAATATTTACTACTAACTATTCAATTTGCTTTTGAATAATAAGTAAAAGAGTTAAGTTGAAGATCTTAAAAGGATCTATTTCATCTTATGTGTATGGGTGTTTTGCCTACATCTATGTATGTGCGCATGACTGCTTAGTGCCTGTGGAAGCCAGAAGAAGGTATTGGTTTCCCTGGAACTGGAGCTAGCATGAGGGTGCTGGAAACTGAACCTGAGCAGCAAGTACTCCTAACCACTGAGCCATCTTGGAGCTCTCTGAGAGTTCCTAAAGTTGAAGATCTTAATTTTTACGACTTAGTTTAAAATTACAGTAATCAGCCAGGGAGGGGTAGGGGATGGGGGCATACGCCTTTAATCTCAGACTTTGGGAGCCAGAGGCAAGTGGATCTCTGAGTTTGAGGCCAGCCTGGTCTACAGAGCAAATTTTAGGACAGCCAGGGCTACACAAAAGAATCCTGTCTTGGAAAAAAGTTACACCAATCAAGATAGTCTTGGTATGTAAGGTGCCTGCCACCAAGCCTGGTAACGAGTTTATTCCCCAGGACCCATGTGGTAGATGAAGAGAACCAGTTCCTACAAATTGTCCTCTGACCTCTCTGTTACACACACACACACACACACACACACACACACACACACACACGCACGCACGCACACACACGGAGAGGAGGAGAGATTTCTGATGAGAGGTAAAAGCCATTCAATAGGTAAATGGTTGGTTTTTTATAAATGGTGCTAGAAGAACTTCACCTCCATTAAGGTGGGGTGGGGCACTTTTGCCACTACCTCACACCATACACAAACGATGTTTCAAGAAGGCTCTGCATTAAAAGTTCAAATCAAATGCCTGTGACCACAGTCCATCCCAGCTTTCCAACCCATTCAAATCCCATGCTGCCCCTCCCATCCAGGGAGACCCTTGTGCTCAGCCTCTTGGTACAACCCACTTGACCTGTCCTGTGTGAGGTCAGAGACCCACAACTCCATTCTTTAGCCCATCACTAGACACTGTGAGTTAACTAGCCAAGCCAGGATGACCTCAGGTCACACTACTCAAAAATTTTCTACAGGACAGAACTTCACCCAACCAGCCAAGATAAGTTAAGCTGGGGTAACAGCGAACACCAAAACCAAACATTCAACACAGGTCTGTAAAAAACTGTAAGGTCACAGAGCCAGGATAGTCCTCAAAATGAGAAGACAAAGAATGTCTGTCACATCACAGGACTTCTCAGCTATAAGACAACCTTCTAGGAGCCAAGGTATATAGGAATGTAAGATACCACAGAAGGAACACAGGGGTGAGGGGTTCTACTCTGGAGTACTGTCTAGTTTTGCAATTAGAAGTTTACTTTAAGGCAGTGGTTCTCAACCTTCCCAGTGCTGTAACCCTTGAATACACTTCCTCAGGTTGTGGTGACCTCCAAACAAAATTACTTTTGTTGCCACTTCATAACAGTGATTTTGCTACCATTATGAGTTGCAATGTGAATATCTGATGTGACCGCAATGAAAGGGTCATTCAACCCTCCTGCAAAGGGGTTGCAACTCACAGGTTGAGAACCGCTGCTCTAAGGTGAGGTCTGGGAATAGAACTTGATATTCTGAATTCCAGCCTAACAGAAAGGACAGCTTACCATAGCATAACCTATTTCCTGCAGAACACTGCAAGCTTTCCCACAGAAAGAAAAGAATAAAAGCCAAGGACCCAATCTGCTGATGTGTAAATCCCAACAACAAAAAAGACAACTTTTTCCTCCAAAAACTATCGGCTCCACAGTGGAAAGGATGTATATGAGATCGCAGGCAAAGAATTTTATAAAGCAGCTGCAAATGTACAGAAATAAGCAGCTGATGGGGATAAGGAAGGTAGTACAGGCTAGAGAGGAAAAGATTAGAAACACTGGGAAAAAACTGAAATATTGGAGATGAAAATTTCAAAAAATAGCTCAATGGAAAGCCCTATCAATAGATTAGAAGATGAGATTGGCAGAATTTGGGAGTTTAAGACAAGGTGGAAGAATTGGAACTTTTAGTTAAAGGAATTAATTTTTTTAAAAAGTATGAGTGGACCGTGTGAAATCTGGTATATCATGAGAAAGGCAAATCTACAAATATGGGCATAGAAGTACAAGAACTCTATTTCCAAGGCATGGAAAGTATGCTCAATGCAATCATAACAGAAAATTCTGTAAATCTGGGGAAAGAGGGACCCATCCAGGTATAAGCAGTTTTTACAGCATACCAAAGAGACAGGGCCACAGTAAAAACTCCACACCATATCATAGCTTAAACATTAGATATACTGAGTAAAGGTTATGAAAGCTGCAAAAGAGAAACACCAGGCTCACCAAAATATCAGCGGAGTGCTCACAGAAACTCTCAAGGACCACAGCTGTGAATCCAAAGTGACACACACAGCAAAACTACCATGTGTGAGGGAGAAAGAAAAACATACCATAAGGGTAGACTAAAAGAATTTATAGCCACCAAGCCAGCTCCACCACATATGCTGGAAGGAATTCTTTGAAATAAAAAAAGACATGTGTATTCAAAAAAAAAAAAGATGATGATAGGACAGTAATAAGAAAACAAACCAAAGACTGCAAAACACACCTTTCAGTACTATTTTGCATTTTATGCTTCCAAAACAGAAGACATACTAGAAGATTAAATGAGAAAATAGGATCCCTATTTTCCTCTGAAA